TTTAGCATCTAAAGTAGTGAAAGAAAAATTGATCATTTTTTAAAAATCTTATCTTATTTTACTTTTTCAGGGAGACTTGATTTTAAGTGATGAAATGAACCATGTTTCATTGATCTTAGGCATTCGTTTATCAGGTGCTAGTATTCAAACATTTGCGCATAATGGTAAGTTATTGAGTACAATTAATATTAATCATTTTGTTCTTTTTTCTGTGTAATAGATATGAAGGATTTGGAAAAAAAATTACGAGCAGCTATTGTTTATGGCCATCCACGTACAAACCGTCCATGGAAAAAAATTATTATTGTTGTTGAAGGAATCTATAGGTTTGTTAATCATAAGATTTGATCTAAATTATTGATCATGAAAGACCTCTTATAGTGAGTGAAAAAAAAAAAGAATTGATAGTCACTTTGGTAGGTGTGCTTTTGCATGTGTTACTTCTTTAACTAAAACATAATAATAAATAAAACCTTTATAGCTTCTTTTTCTGACATAATCTGTAAAATATAAACAATCTGTATTATGTTTTAATCTATCGAATAAATATTTTAGTTATTTTCTTTTTTTTGTACGTGAAATAGAGCTATTTATTATTTTATTTATAGTATGGAAGGTTCAATATGTCGTTTACCAGAATTAATTGAATTAAAAAGAAAATATAAAGCTTATTTATATATGGATGAAGCACATTCAATTGGTGCAATGGGTAAACATGGTCGTGGAATTGTAGATTATTTTGGTGTTGATACAAATGATGTAGATATTTTAATGGGAACATTTACAAAAAGTTTTGGTTCAGCTGGTGGTTATATTGCAGGAAAAAAGGTAGAGAAAAACTTTATTAGATAGATTACATTGTTTAATGTGACATAGTCGAATTCATTAACTCCTTATTCATCCTACATAAACTTAGAATAACTAATAAATAATTTTATGCGTTAAATAATAAATTTCAAAAGTTATTAATTTGATTTTTCTTGAAAATAATTCAATCATACATAAAAAAAGAAAAAGCTCGATTCATTTTTTTTAAAACAATTCATACATAAAATCCGATAAACTATGTCTATAAATATTTCGAAAATATATTCTTATACTTTCTTTCTTTGTAGTCTCTGATCGATTATATCCGTATTAATTCTCATGCACATACTTATGCTTCAAGTATGTCAGCACCAGTAGTACAACAAATCATATCTTCTCTTCGTCTTCTTAAAGGTCCAGAAGGTAAAAAGAAAAAGAAGCATATTAGTAGAAGAAAACAAATAACTACTAAAGATTAAATTTCTTTTTTTAAGGAAAAAAACGCATTTATCAACTTGCTGATAATACACGTTATTTTCGACAAAAATTAGTTGATATGGGTTTTATTGTTTATGGTAATAAGAATTCACCTGTTGTTCCAATGTTAATTTATATGCCTGCAAGAGTAACACGATTTAATCGAGAAATGTTTCGACGTGGTATTGCAGTTGTTACTGTTGGATTTCCAGCAACAAAATTATTAGATGCTCGTGTACGTTTTTGTATATCAGCTGCACATACACGTCAAATGCTTGATACTGTAAGTAACAAGAACTTCTTTATGGATTTGTGTCGAAGTTAAAAAAAAAAAATATATATATATAATAGGCTTTAACAGCAATTGATGAAGTTGGTGCAGAAATATCATTACGTTACTCAACACGGCATAAATCTCGACGGTTAAGAGAGTTGTGAATACAATAAAGAAAAAATAATTTCAATGTCAAAAGTTTTCATTCAGATATGCGATGATGATGATATTTTATCCCTCTCTGGTTGTCTATTTTCTTTTTTGTTGTTGTTTATTTGTACTTCTTTTCATTCCACTTATTATTGACATCGTATGAAAACAAAATAATTTGTTTTTTTTTTCTTTTGGCAATTGATCTCCTCACAAAATCTATTCTCTTCTGCTTGTTGTTGTTTGTTGCTAAAAATTTTTATTTTCTGTTTGTTTTGCATGAGTTTATCTTTTATTCTGCTTCATTGATTATCAAATGATAGTCATGGGTATTTTATTTAATGTCAATTTATGTTTTGAATGCATTTTTTGTTTGTTTGTTTGGTCTCTTTTATTTTATGTAATAGCGCAAATGAAAATCTTTTCTCTTTTTCTCTCTTAGTCACTTTGATTGTTTTGTGTGAATTGTCAATTGAACCCTCCTTTCCATTTAGTTTCCTCGAATGGTGCCTTTTATCGTATTTTTCTTCTTTTTCTAATTTAACCTTTTGTATGGGTGCGAAATTAGTCTATTGCTCTCCATTAATTAAGTGTATCTTTTCTATTTATCTTTTTCATTCAAGCCGATTCTTCTGGTAAGCAAGATTTCTTAACAACAAAAAAAGCAAAACATCAAATATTTTGTGTGCACAGTGATTTTAAGTTGTTTCTTTTTTGTCTAGTTACTCCTTTATTTTCTATTTCTCACATACATATACAAATAATGAAAAGAAAAAGAAAATTAATAGAAATAATAATATGAATAATAATTATAATACATATACATTTTTATTCATTGGGTTTATTTCTCATAGTAAGAAGTATATCGAGATATTGTAATAAAGTTATAGATGGTGTATATTCTGAATCTTTTTTATCTTTAAGTGATCGTAACCAATTACTTAATTGTTCTGTTATTAATCTTTGTATCGTTTGTTTTGGCATATTAAGAAATGATTGTAAAAATTCTTGAATTAAACAATAACCATCACGAGTTTCATCCATTGGAACATAAGCAACCTAAATATATAGATCAATATAATAAAAGATATTTGAGGAAATATTATTCATATATGAGATTAATTGTTTTTCTTTCTTCTCTTTTTTAGTTTTATTTACTTCAAGAATTAATCCTTTTGTTGTTTGTGATTGATTGACAGTTCCAAGATTAATAAGAAAATCTTGATATTCTAATCGTGTACCTCTTGCTTCCATTTTTTGTAAACGTATTTCAAATGCACGTAATGTTTTTAATTTATTCATTAATGCAATAAATGTATTATCGGCAACAAGCATTTGACAATTGGATTGTTCAGCATAAGCAAATGATGATGCCGGATATTCAGAATGTGATAATACATGAACGATTTTAGAATTTGGTATTACTGAAAAAACAACAATTAATTCAAATAGACGGAAAGAAAATGAATATAAAATTTAATATTTTATAACGAACATGGAGTATAGCTGACAAGATCAACTTGAAATGGACGAGTCTTTTTTGCACCACCTTTTTCTAACTTATCTAAATAAAATTCAGCTGCTTCAGCTGGTGATTTGAATGAGCCACTTGGTAATGAAATAACTCTACAGAAATAAATAAATGAAAAAAAAAGTTCAAATATATTATATTGCTAAAAGAAAAAAGGACTTGAATGTTCAAAATTTCTATCTGAACAAGACAATTTAGAGAAACTATATTTTTACTTACATAGCTACGACCATTTCTGCCTAATAGTAGAATAAAAAAAAATAGATAAGATCTAAAATTGAAATTAAGAAATTTTTGATAAATAATATTTTCACATCAAAAACTCTATTCTAAATGAAATCTAACTATAGTATGAAATAATAAAGCTGATTCACAATCCATATTGAAAATGCAACAGTAACCGTACACCATACGTCGGCACACAGATCTTACGTAAAGTTTTGCAATAGTCTCAACATGTACGTATAGACTAACGAGGAAGGCTGAATGAATGATAAAGCTATGATGGTCATGGATTGATTTCGAGGTTTTCTCTCGGAAAGATCACTTCAAGATAGTAGCTGAATTATATAACAAAAATAGAGTAAAGATTTTCGGGATCCAGGAATCTGAATCCATAGGGAGTTTTTATCGAAAGTTCTGAGTTCGATTTTCATGATCGAAAAAAAACTTACGAGAAAACTTCTTCAGCTGTTCCCTTGCGACTTCAATGATCTTTTGTCTATAGATACTGCATAATATTCTAATAGAAATCCTAAAAGGATTTTTTGTTTGCATTGATATTTGACTAAGCTACCGAATATTTACAAATGTATATTTTCTAGAAGCTCCAGGTCTTCGAAAAATTCATGTTTTCGAATTTCGATCTGAAATTTCGTGCAAATAGAGAACTCGACTACACTAGTTTTCATTAAAAAATTCAGAAGTTTTGAACAAAAAGTCTTCAAAATATGAAACTTTTAAGATATAGACCCTTTTCTATAGATAGTGTATACAACCATTATTTCTTGGATAGCTTAATATCTCGAAGAGACTTTGCTCAAAATTGCTGACTTTTTTTTATCAAAGTTAGTCTAGTTGACTTCTCTATACGCACAAATTTTAAGATCAAAGCTCGTAAAAACGAGTTTTCGAAGACCTACGGTTGCTAGAAAAAAGACATATGAAAAATTCAATAGCTCAGTTAAATATCAAGAGGAACCGAATTCCTGTTGAAATTTTTATTGAAAAATTATGCCCTATTTATAGACAAAAATTCATCGACATCGAAACAGAGAAAGCGAAGAGGCTTCATTGTTAGTTCTTATGTTTTCGTCGTGTTTTAACAAATAAATCAATTTTCTTGAAATAGATCTCTCTCAACCGAAGAAGTGGAGACGAATCGAAGATTGTCGTATTTTCATCATACAGTCACCATCTTCACTATCATTCTATACGTTCAGATCTAGATCAGTACACCGCTGTCAGAGTTGAACGCTGAATCAGTGTACAATGGCACCGGTAATCACTGCCACTGTTCCATCCCTAACCCATATGAATACAGAACAAATAAACGGAAAAAAAAATTTTAGCACATAAAATGTCAAACTATTTTTATTTGTTGATGCTATCAAATAGATGTTTGAACTAGAAAAGAAGTTCTTTTTGCTTGACATTGAAAAGGAAAAGTTAATTGCAGATGAAGAGAATCAACAAAAAATAATATCACACATTCTCTATCTATCATTCAGATTATATTGATTTAAATCTTATTTAATTTCTTTAATTTGTTATTGGTTCACTTGTAAGATTTTCAATTAATTTCATATAAATTTCAATGCCACGAAGAAAAACATCTTTATGTAGATATTCATTATGATCATGTAAAAGAACAGGAGTGTTTATCATAGGTGAAAAACCAATTGCTGGATAACCACAATTACGTAAATATCTAGCATCAGTTCCAGCCGGAAATATAGTCCAATTCATTTTACATTGCATTTCTTCACATGCTTGTTTGAAAGCATTAAGCCACCATGATGGTGTCTCAACATCAGTAAGTAACAGTGGACCTGAATCTTGTATATAATGAATTCTTATTTCATTATTATTTTCTTTTGGTGTTCGTTGCACAAGATCGTTTAAAAATTTTCTAAATGAATCATAATTATTTGGAGCAATACGACAATCAAAAGTTAATGTATATTGATCAGGTACAACATTGATTTGAACACCACCATTCATTTTTGTTAAATTAATCGTTGTTATGTTACCTAATTGAAGTGGCTTATCTGTTGTTTGGCTTTTTTCTAAACGTTCTTTTTCATCAGCACGATATTTTAACATTTCATTAACAATGAATTGAACTTTTTCTGCAGCTGTATTTTCAATAAGACGTGATCCATGACCAGTATTACCTTTAACGGTTACTTCAATCCAAATACAACTACGATCGCCATAATAAACTTGAAAGACATCTGTTTCACTTGCAAGACCTAAGAAAAAACAAATAATGATAAGCTGAAAGTTTTTTATTTTTAGTTTACCTTCATCAAGAACAAAACCAATATTTAAATTTTTAAATTCATCAAATGTTGTTAACATTTTCATTCCTCTTTCGCCACCGATTTCTTCATCAGGAACAAATAAACAATGAATTGTTCGTTTTGGTTCATATTTAGCTGTTTTAAGACGTCGAATCGCTTCCAAATATTGAATTCCAACACTGAAAAACATAGAAATTTCTTTGAACAAAATGGTAGTTTTTAAGCTAGAAAGTTGTAAATCATTAATAAAATTTATTTTTTGAAGAAAATAAACGACAAATCGAATTTATTGGGAATTAAAAATCATCCACCAAAACTATAATAGGCATTCATCGAAGGAAACATTAATCTTCACATTCTGCTTAGAGAATTTCATTCGAAAATACATTGAAAAAGAATTTGGCAGCATCTTTGTTTGATCTTATATTTTTGAAAGTAATATCGGGATGATACAGCATAAATAAATAAGGGCACACTCCATATTTTCCATTCCATTTTAGTTACATTTATAGATAGACAACTGTTTAGCCTCAAAAGATTCGCTGTTCAATTCTCTAGAAAATCATGTGGGCACATTAGATCTAATATTAAAAGTAGTCGCAATTTTTTTTAATAACTTTTCATATAAACAAGATAGTCAGCGGTAATTTTCACCCTTAGAACGAGGAGATAAATATGTATCAAACGGTGTATTACAAATGTTTTTAAACTGGTATTTTAAAGTTTTCAATCGACCTTGTTGAAAGTCTGGAGTTTTGTAAGAACCACTTACTCCTTTTATATATCAATATTAAGAAGCACTGGCTGTTTTTTATAAAACCTGGTGATAAGTATCTATTTGAATCAATTGCCTTAAGGATTGGAAAGATCTCATGAAAGACAACCAGAGTAGAATATTCCGATACTCAATGTCAACAAGCTCGTTTCTGGATCATTATGCTCTTTGAAAATGTTCGTCATTGAACATCATGACAAAAAAAAACTGTCTATTGCCGTAATAAACTTTCTGTATTATGTTTCGCCGTCCAAAACAAAGTCGTAAAATATCGGGAATTGTTTGGGAAATATTCTCTAGAAACTAATAGATATTGAATAAGTCCACTGTGCTTCGATTCTCTTGGCAACTTTAAAGATTAGTTCTAATGTTTTTGTTTAATTTTATAGAGAATTCAACAGCAGGATCGTTTGAAACTAAGTGTAGTTTTCTATCTGTTTGAGTACACATTAGTTTTCAACAAGAATGAAACACAATTTTAATATTATTACTCTTTTCAACTATAATCTAAAAGAAATCTTGAAGTATAAAGCAAGAGATTTCGATTCTCTTTTAAGTTCTCTGTTTCACAGACTGTAACGTATATAGAACAATACTAAAGTCTATGGCGAGAAAGTTAACACGACCTTCTAACTCTCAACATATTCCTGATATCTAATGAAAAAGAGTTAAGATATCTGTCGTTTGTTTTCTTTCTACACATTCAGTCTATCATGATGTCATAAACATCATCTTGTCATTGAGAACATTAATGGATAAATCAAGAACAAATATAATTCGGTAGAAGTTCTTCTGAAAAACTAAAAGAAATAATTATTCAATTAATAAATCATATTTGCTTAGTTTTTTATTTTTAACGTATTTACCATTTCATATCTTGTGTACCGCGTCCATATATTTTTCCATCTCGAATTTCACCTGAAAATGGTGGAACTATCCAACATTCTTCAAAAACTGGTACAACATCAATATGCGAATTAAGTAAAATTGATTTATTTGTTGATGATGATAACCACTAAAACACACCAATAAAAATATTTAATTTTCTCAATATTGAAAAACTAAAATTAATATACAGTTAACACAGCTGCTTGTCGACCTTCATCAATTTTAATTAAACGATATTCTAAACCAAGTTCTTGTGCATATTTTTTCAAAAATTTAAAAGCACTATCATAATCTGGTTCAGGTTGTACTGTTTTTATTTGTATATATTCAACAAAACGTTGAATAGCCAATTCATTTTGATTATAATCGCTCATAATTACCGAATAAGAGACACTTCTGAAAGAAACTAATAAAACCTGTTAACGTGAGTCTTTTTTATTGAAGTCTCATTCACGTTATTATTTAATTATATACTGACAACATAGAAAATAAAAGAAAACATATGAATATGAACCTCTAGAGTAAAAAAAACACAAAAGAAATCAGAGCCCAATGAAAATAAGCATTGAGAATTATAAAATGTCAAGTTTTTAAGTGAAATTATCCTACATAATATGCATAAAATCGAGACGATCAAGATCAATATCACAATTGGCACGTATTGTATCAAATGAATATTCACATAGAAGTTTTCCATTTTCGAAAACAGTTACAAGTTGATCTTCAGCTGTTTTATATTCATTACTATGTTCTAAACTACTTAATGTTCGATAACTATCATTAGTTTCTTTAACTAATTTAAGTCGACCAGGCTTATTACGTTTGCCTTTATCCGTTATTGGATCTTTAGCAACTGATAAACCACCTATACCAGCTATTTCAACATAAGAACATTTCATTGCAAATCTCATTGTATCACGATCAAACTTTTGTAACAGAGCACCTAGAAATAATTGAAAAATTGCATTGAAAATAATTTAAAAAAAAAGCTGAACTTACCACCGCTACCAAATACAATATTATCGGTTGAAAATTTATTTTCTTCAAGTAAATTAACAATATTTTTGATTGAATTCATATTAACGCCATCACCTTGAATTAATCGAACATGTTTATTAAGAACTTTAAAACCTTTTTTATTAACATCACCACCAAATTTAGCATATAATATATTTAATAAACGTAGGAGAACTTCTAATGGATCACCTGTAAATAAATAAAAATTAGTATTAAATAATGTCAGAAGTAAGAATAGATTTTTATCTAATCAATAAACAGTAAATTTCAGATTATAATAATCAAGAAATCTACTGTTGAGTCTTTATAGGGATCGACATATGAATAATACAACAGTAAAAAATAGGGATGTGTAGTTGCAGTTTAGTGATCACTAACTCACGAAAGCATCTCTTTCATTGATTTCTGCCGATTCCAATGGGTCTTTTTTTGCGTATAAATACCACGTAGTGTTCTAATAAAAATTCTAATAGGGTTTGGCTTCCTACTCGTACTTGACTAAGATATCAAATTTGTAATGTCTATTTTCTAGAGGTCCAAAGTTTTCGAAAAATTCATATTTTCAAATTTTCATCTTAAACTTTGTGCACATACAATTAAAGAACTCAACTAGACTAGCTTCGTTAAAAAAATTCACAAGTTTTGAACAAAATTTCTTCGAGATACGAAGCTTTGAAAAAAAATCCATGTTGTATACACTATCTGTGAAAAAGGAGCTATATCTTGAAAGTCTCGATTTTTTTCATGAAAACTAGTTCATTTGAGTTCTTTATATGCACAAAGATTTCAGATTGAAATTTTCAAAATAGGATTTCTCCCGAAAACCTGAGGCTTCTAGAAAATAGATATAGTAAACATGCTGTAATTTGGTCAAATATCAACAGGAACCGAAATTTGTGTTGAAGTATTTATTAAAACACTATGAAATGTCTATAGGCGAAGAAATCATTGAAATCGGAAAGAAATAGTCAAAGAGGCTCCTCCATCAGTTTAATTAGTGCACAGTGAAACATTGGGAGCAGTGTTCACTGAAGTATTGGAAACACATCACTACAGAAAGGATACATTTCATAGAGTTGGTATATCAAAGTTGCACCGCATGCGCTATCAGTATAATTAGTGCTTCAGTGAATGTTCTAGTGAATCTTGCATCGGTAACTCATTGTTCGATATTCACACCAACATTGCACATTCCTAAAAAAAAGCTATTAACAAATTTCTTTATTTTTACTTCTATTTAATACTTAGCAAATAAACAAGATTGCACAAATAAGTTTTCTTGACAAACTTCAAAATCAAATATTATTTTTCTACGTGCTAATAAACTTAATTAAAATTTCAAAGAGTATAATTTCAAATTTATAACGGATGTAAATTTTAGTCAAATCAATTCGTAAGAAAGTTTGATGGAAAAACTTTTTTTTTTCTTTTCAGAATGCCTACCGGAATCAGATCGTATAACTAATGTTCCATCACGGGCTAAAATTTTATCATGCAATTGTTCACCCCAAATATGTTCACATGCATTATAAATATCATATGAATCTGACACGCATGCAATGATACCTTTTGGATACATATCTATTTTCAAAAAAAAAAAGAAATTATATCGTCGAAATATATTTTATTTTTGTTATTTAAACAAACCTAACATATTTTTATAGGCTTCAGATTCTTTTTCTCGTGTCCAACTAACCATTGTTGAATGTTCTGATGCCGGAATAGAAAAAGCAGCCATTTCTTTAGCTGAGTAATAGTTATGAGCTAAAACACAACCCGATATAGTATCGGTGCCATAGAATGATGTTAAATGTGCACATGCACCAACTAAATATTTCAAAAAAAAAGCCGATGCAGTAAATAAAAAAAAACATTTTTATTTAATTAAAATATGACTTGCTGATGTTTCATAGGATGATACACCACGAAATCCAAAGTCATGTAATTGTGTTTTAATTAAATTTGGATCACCTGTTCGTTTTAATGATCGTAACTAAATAAAATAAAAAATCTTTCTTGCTTTCTTTTTTTTGAAATAATTTTTGTATATATATTAACTAAAATTTTTTTAATTTCTCTTGAATTTGTAGCAACTGTAATTGGATACCAAATTTGTAATAAAATTGTTTCTAAATATGTTGTTAATGATGCACATTTTGGATCTGTATTTTCAACAGTCATTAAAACATTTCCAGTTGATACAACAGTACCTTCTGGTATAGCTTTAATACGTATTGGTAAATGTCCATCATATGTTTTAATAATATATTCCCACATTTCTCGATCAACAAGTTCATAACCAAAATGTTGATTCCAAAATTGAATTGCTTGTTCAAGATATTCTTTAGTTACAACTTTTCCAGTTAAATGCTTTTTCAATATATATTGTAAACCAAAAAAAACTTGTTCTGGATATTCACCACCACGACTTTCCAAATAAGCATAAACAACTGTTGTTTCTTTTGGATATTGTTTATAATGTGATACTTTATATGAATCAGTTTTTAATAATATATTATTTTCCATTAATACATTCATTATCGATAAAAAAATATTTTACTAATATGCGCGATATTGCTTTAAAATATTAGTAGTAAATAACTGAAATTGAAAGATACATAGATAATAATCTTTACTAAGAAGACGAGTGGCTAGACCAACAGAAAAATAACAAACGTTAAGTAGAAAATAAAGAAAAGTAAAGTAAAGAAGTCAGATTTTTACAGCGTCATATCTCTTCTTACACCAAACACACACCTCTATACAATAAAACGCGACAGACTGCAAAATCGAGAGAGAATAAAATCTTGCGACGATTGTGAGTAGCGTAATTATGTACACATAGAGAAATAGAAAAAATCCCTTGAAGAAAAGAAGGAAAGCTGTTCGTCGGTATTTTCTTCTCGATGTCTACAATATGTTATTACTTCTATGCCAACAACACTTTTTCCTTTTTTCTTTTTTTACATTGAGTAATTCAAAGATTCAATTAGTGTAGTTGTTTTCTATTATTTTAATTGAATAGCCTCAAGAGAAACTGTTTAAAAAAAGAAAATGAAAAAGCAAAACGAAAGAATATAACAATTATAGCACAAAAGAAAATTTAAAATAATGTCTGAATTAAAATTTCAGCGGCCGTTTTGTATTTTCAGTAAGTTTTGGTAATGTTTGTTTTGTTGATGTAAACGGTAAAGAGAAAAATTTACTTAATGATTGATGATTTAATTCTATCCATTCAAGCCAATCGGGCAGATAACGTTTTAAAATAGCTAAAAGCATTAGACAATCATCTTCAGCACGATGAGCTTTTAAATTAGATGTTTTTTGAATAAATTCTCGTTCATAAATTTTACTAAGTTTCATTGATAATTGTTGTCGTGTTGGATCTTGTGAAGGAACATATTTAATCGGTATTTCAACATATCCAAGACGAGCTGATGAATTATTATTAGTTGATGTTAATTCATTTGAATTAACTGATACGTTATTCTGACAGTCATTTTGATTAAATCTGACTGGAGATTCTGATGAAATATTTTCAATTGGATATTGAACTATATCCTTATCATTAAGTAATCGATGCATTTCTCGAAAGAAAACAAGTGAATCAGCACATGCAACAGATAGTAATGAAGTTTCATTATAATCATAACTTGTTGTTATTGTTTGTATAGATGAATCTTTTGTTGTAAGAGAAGCTAGAGATATATTATCATTTGAATCGGTTGTATTCGTTTCAGAAATGCATTCATTATGACCATTATTATGATTAGTAGTAGTATTAGCATAAAATGAAGGACTGGATAATGCAGATTTAATTTCATTGAATAAAATAGGAAAATCAAATAAATTACCATTGTGAGCTAAAAACAAGAAAATAAATCCATTTTTCTATAAAAATATATCTGATATGAATAGTTCTAAAAGCTACATAAAACTTAATTAGTAGAAAATAATAAAATCTACGCATTAAAAAATTATATTTACTTATCAAGAAATAGTTAGTCTTTTCAAAGATGATACATAATAAGTCGAAAGAAAAACAAATAATTAAGAGATATTGAACGAGATAAAGAAAGAAAAATTTTCTTTAATTCTATTATTCAATTTTTGGCTGTAAAAGCTAAATCATAATTGACTACATTATTTACTTATAGATCACTATGCCAACCAGTTTCAAATTACTAGAAAATAGAAATTCTAAAATATTGAACTGCGAAACATCGAACATTCAACAACTTTTAACTCAAGATGAGTTCAAATCTTCATTAAATATAATCATACCAACAAAACACATTGGTTTTTGAAAATCACTTAAAAAAGCTTCCATTGCAATAACTGTTTCACGATTAAATGGTGCATAATCTATCAACATACGATTATTTAAACCTAGAAAAAAACAAAACAATCAATGTTGAACAACAAATCTTCATTCTTACCGGTCAATTCAGCTACTGAAGCGCGTAATAATTTTACTGGATCAAAAAATTTAACAAATTTATTCTAATTAGAAAAGCAACGAATTCATATAAAACTAAATAATATATTCTCGGAATGCCTGATTAATGACGAAAAAAAGAATGTCGAAAAGTAAAAATATCGAAAGAAAATATGCCGAACAGTTTGAAGGCGGTAAAAGTAACATTGTGATAGAGTTAATATGGCCGGGGAAAGGAAAAATGAACGAAACTAGATTTTTAATCATTTTACACAAACAGTAATTCAACAAAAAATATCTGACAATCAATCATTTTTTATTAATTTTTTTTGTTTTATCCTTAGCAACAACAAACGATAAACCTTCTAAATATTGTCTTAAATTGATTTCATCATTTGCATCACAACAAGCAAGAGTATGAATGGGTGTTAAAAATATGATACATCACAGTATTTATAAAACTAGATATTCTTGTGTATACTCTTGCCATTTCTTTGATCAATTAGCCTGATAATTAAACTTTATTAGTTTAACTTCTAATCATTATAACTGTTCTTTTTTTGTCCCACAGGAAGTAGTGATTAATATATCTCTATCTATATTCTATGGGAAACTTTTTTATTGCATATTCTATTAATTTTGTTAACAGTTGCGCCTCGTCGTCTTTGATTATTTGCCAGGTCGGTCAATTTTTATTCAACCATTTTCACAACATCAACTTTACGAAGATTTTACCCTTGCCGTGCTCAAACTTTTCAACATTTTTCCTTTCGACATTTTTAGTTTTCGAGATTTCTCAGTACATTCATATTGTCACTTACCAGTACTCGAGGTAATTCTTCATCTGCTTTCATTTCTTCCAATGTTGCGCTAAAATTTAAAAACAAAATTACAAGGTAGCCTATGAATAATTAGAAAATGAAAAAAAAATTAATATTTCCAGTCGGTTTTCGTCAATCGAGCTGATTTCTTCTTCTCGATGATAAAGAACTTGTATTGAAATTAGAAATGTAGGTCATGGAGACCAACCTAACTTCATTCGTTTGAGTTGCAGATGAATTGTACGATAGTTCTTCTCACTATGAGTTTTATAAATGAACAAGAGAAGATTTAAATGATGCTTCAATGTGACTATTTATACTATAAATTTTATTGAATTTCTTTCAAGCTTTCAAAAGCTATAGATATTTTATATAATGATATATTGATCGGATCATAAGATTCTTCCGTTCTTGAATTATAGAACTCATAATGAGATGAGCTATCACAATTTTTCTTCAACTCAAGAGAACGAGACCGAACTGATATCGTTTGCTTACATTTTTAAGGTGTTGCATAAGTTAAAAATTTCAGATATGTATTCTTAGGAGCTACTGAACTTGCAGGACATACTCCTGGTCAGTAATATATTTCTCTATTGAAGCTAATAATGTTAGTTCGAAACAATATCAATCGGTGATTTCCTTGTGAGAAAAAGCTTTGAGGAGTCGTTTATCAGTGGAGAAAAAAAAACTCAGCTCGATTGACAAAAACCAGTTCGAGATATTCAGCGTTCTTCTTATCGTCAAATCATTTTTGGTTCACCGTGTATTGACACTTACATATTTACAGCAATCATTGCTAATTCAGTAATTTTAGGTTCATCATATATTAAACCAGTTGTTTCAAGATCAATAATAATTAATGTTTTAAATTTTGACTTACTATTCATATTAAAATAGATTGATCTTCAAGAAAAATAAAATCTACAGTGGAACATATATTTAAATTTAAATAAAAAGAAAATAAATCGTAAAATAAAAGAGAAGAAAAAAAATGGTTAAATAGATTGTGATAAAATATCGAGTAATTGTTTTATATATATGATCTTTTTTTGTAATTCATAAATTGGCGCCAATTGTGCACTTAATTGTTCAGCTTGTGCCATAAATGAATAAATTGTTTTTATATTTGTTTCAATAGTTTCATTTAATTTTTCTCCAACAGCATCACGATATGTTTGTAAACAACAAACACTTGTTGCTGACATATTATGTAAAGATAGTGTTAATTGTTCAACAGTTGTAACAAATTCTTGCGCAAGTTCACGTGAATATAGTTCAATATCATCAAGAACACGTTTATCAACTGGTAATAACAGTTGATTTGAATCATATATTGTTTGTGCCGGAGATATTGAACGACTTGATTGAACTGATGGAACATCAACAATAGAACTTGAAAGTGAAGGTGATGATATATCATCCGTACTTGATGATTTTTGGTGTGCTAATGCTGTTAAACGAATTTTTTTTACAATATCTTCAACAACAAAACTTGTAAATTTTGATGAACTACTAGGAGAAATTTCATTTTCAATTTGTGTTAAGAGATCATTCATTACTTGAGAAACATCGTTAGTGATGGTATCTACGAAGAAAAAAACGAATCAATTTATCAATGAAAATTATATAAAATAAGTTCTCAATCGGAATGCGATTATTCGAACGGGAAACGAATGAAGTTCTCTAGCTAAATTATCAATTTTAATGAGCTATGAATACTGTGAAAAATTGTTTGGGCCTGTAGCTTGTTACTGTAAAGATATTGCATTTTAACGGTAGTTTTCAAGTCAATACGATGGTCTCCTCCGCGAACAATACTGAAACTGATTGTCGAATTTCGAGTTGAAATTTTACATAGATATAGACCTTATTGAGAATAGTTTATGGTCAAAAATTTAGGTCTCATGATTGGGTCCTATCTTGAAACAAGAATATCAAATCTGCTGGTGTACATGAGTGATGTGAAAGATACTTTTACCAAAGCTCTATCTTAGGACAGGAACAACGAAAAGATGTAAAACTTTCACAATAAACAATTCTTAAATAGGGCCTATCTCTATGGAATACTTTCAGTGGAAACTCAAAAGTAACTGGGCGAGACCATGGCATTGACTTACAAATGCAGTATCTCCGTAGCAATAAGCTAAAGGACTTGAGTTCTTCTCCAAGTATTCATAGTTCATGAGAATCTACCCAATAATGTACATAGTTTTCTCCCGACTTAAAAGTAATTAATGAATCGAACAAGATCCAGCATTAGTAAATCATCGATTTTGATAGATTATTTCCTTAAATTATATAGAAAGTAATGTGTTATTTTGATCGAATAACAGAAGAGATCAGAAATGCCACAGAAAAAAGATCATTTGACATTTCGGTATTTTAACAACCAAAATATCCCTTTCTGAACTTAATATAAAAAATTTAATCTCTTTCACACATGCGTTAAAAGACAAATTCTTTTATTTCAAATAATAATTAATTCAATATATTTCTTTTTTTTCTTCTTTTTTACCTTCTATTTGTTCATCATTGATCAATGTTGCAACGGATGATTCAAATCGTTCATCGTTATTATTATTATTATCATTTTCCATATTTTCTTTTTATCAATCTAATGAATAGAAATAGAAAAAATGTTTCTTTCTTCTTTTTGGATACATATATATTATCTTCATTCTCAGATTAATTCAGATGATATGTTAATCAAATATTCATACGCAAACATTTTCATCGTTTTCGTTCTTTTGTTCTTTGAAGAGAGAAAAATCCACTGGTTTTTACAATGAATAAACCGAAAAGAATTTACAACACGAAAGCACCGGAAGAAAAAACTCTTAATAATAAATGTACATCTGACTACGCTCAAGAATACAAATGAGAAAAGAGAAAAAAAAAGACTACACAAAAAAAGACAAATATGTCACAATTTATTCCATCTACATTTTAGTAGACGATAGAATATTAGTGTTCGTTTGATTTGTTCGAAATAAGTTGAATTATTAGAAGAAACTTCTATTAATTTTATAAATACTAAGTCAAGTTGATTTCGTAATATCGTTGTTATTTGCCCAGCAAAACTCGTATACATGAAAGGAAATACTTTAATTTCTACAAAAAAAAAAAAAAAAATATATACTTTTTTCATCAAATTTTATCTGAATATCTGCATACCAGTAATCAAATCAGCATAAGTTGTAAACAAACTTCTCAGAAGTAATAATACAAAATCATTAATCGGCTACAATAGAAGAAAAATCAATTGCAAAACTTGACATTAATCATATTTTTATTAACAAGTAAGTTTTAATTTGATAATTGATGGTCTGATAAAATAAGAGAAAAAAAACTGAAGAGACATTAAATGTACTTAGCTGTTATTTAATAAACCAACAAAAGATAAGACTTGACAAAGAAAATGCATTGATATATCAAAACTAACAACTCTGCGTATTTCGTATCAGTATTTATTTGTATCGAACTCTTATTCTTTACAGGACAATTACACTAGATATGAGTATGACAAGAAGTTTTGGATCCAGAGACCAAGACCATCTTCTCTAAATCTATTTAGAACACATGATCGATGGCAATATGACATTCAGCGCATGTTTTACACGACCATGAAAAGTATCGCACTCAATAAAAAAAGTATTAGTCTTGATTCAGGCTCCGACAGAACTGTTCGTAGGTCTTAAACAAATAAAAAGTTCTGAGAAGTTTAACTCGACTATGTTTACAATTAAGGAAAATATATCTAAACAATTATAAATTTTTTTGATTTACATTATAAAAATAAACGATAAAGTTTCTTGATTGTCATCAACGGGATGTCTTTTAGATAACTTTTCTACAATCTAGACCATTGTCTCAAATTTTGGCAAGCCTTCTCGAGAAACTAACGTAGTATTAGAACCGTGCAAAACAAGACTTTTTTTTCTTTCACACATAACCGGACGTTGATTTTATGCCCAAATTAGCTTGCATTAATTTTCGAAAATTTCATGCAATCAATGCTTATTCAATGTTATTTATATTAGCTACATATATTGAAGTTTAATTGATGTTGATACAATCTGTTCAAATTAGAATGTACTATGAACTTAGTCATTAGCTCACATGAATGAATACAATTATTCACGAACGGACAATTTATAGGAAAGGAGAATGGTTGAATACACTTTAAAGTCTTTATTTTAGATTTATTTTATGTTTGTTTCGTAAAAAAAACGTATCTGCATTTTTTTTGCAAAAAGAAATGCATTCTCAAGTATAAAGGATTTAGCTCATAGAAAAGGCTGCAAAGTCTAAGTTTAGAAATATATTTTTTTTCCAATTAGGAATCCGCATTGCTATAGGAATAACATGTTCGAATATTCAGACTAAAGTACAAGGATGAAGTGCTGTTTTCAAATAATCGACAATGGAATTTTACTGAATGTTTCCTATTGAAACAGATTTCTTTATATATGATGGATTTGGATGTGCATCATATTCATTACGTCTTATGACCTTGGGAAAGAGTTTTTCGTAAAGAAAATATTACAAAGGATCACTAAATTATCTTCATTATATGTTTTTAATAAAGAAACTCAATTTTTCTTAACTTTTTATTACGAATTATCGAACTCAAAGTTAATACATTACTAAGATGGTAGAAGTAAAATACTATCCTTCTTACTAAACTTAGGTTTTGTCACCTGTTTCATGCTTTGTTTATTTAAGAAGGATCGTCTATTTCGTCGAGAAGCTTACTGTTGAGATAGATAAATGTTGAAACTGTCTATTGACGAAAGCAGAAACATGCTATCTTAAGAACAGCTGCGTAAAACATGGAACATAAACGACTACAAATGTGTGTTCCAATACGTTTTCTGATTAAACACATCTCCTTAACTAACTAATTTCTCATAATACTAACACTTTAATTAGTATATTTCCATGAATATATGCCTAGTTTTCAGGATTTTGAGCTTAAAAATCTAAAAAGACTGAAGTCAAAATCATTTCAGAGCTTTTAAAAAGCTTCTAAATAAAAATTTTGAAAATAAATGAAACACAATAGAAGGCCAACGATCTTCCACTCATGCTTGAACATGATGCAGACTCGAAAATCTTCTATTGTAGAAAGAATTTTACTTGAATATTTATTCTACTCACTTCTGATGAACTTAAAATATTCTAAAAGAAAAAAAATATTTTCAAAAAATATCAATATAAAATAATTATTTTACTTGAATTTGTCGAAAAAATTCATTAATATAATTAATTGAAATAAACTTTAAATTAAATTTTTTTGAAGCTAATTCATTTATTAATAATAAACGAATATCAGGAAGTAAATTATTGTCAAATAGAAACACATTCAAACATTTTGAATTATCTTGACATAGTTCTGATAAAAATAATGCCATCTAAAATAAATGAATAAAAATCTTTAGTTTTTATTTAATAAATAACAGATAATCGGGAAGTTTTTAGACAAAATGCTTACTCATTTTTGACTCGCTAGAAAATATTTCCGACAAGTCAAAAGCTATGAATTTGTGCACTTGTCGAGTATGAGCTTAGACATTTTGTTTCAGTTTTTGTTCAAGAGTAGTAAAATGATCTTCGAAAAGTCCAAAAATATTTGTTCGGATACCACATGTAGACCGACGCTTCCGATGAATATGTTTGTTTATTTTGACCAAGTTGAAAGAATTTCAGACAAGTCAAAAACTATAGGTCGTGACTAGAATTTGAATATGGGCTTAGAAATGTTGTGTCTCTTCTTGTTCAAGAGTACAGAAGAACATTTTGAAAGATTTGAAAATTAATTTTAAATGGTGAGTCAGCAAGTTTCTGTTTACCAAATAAGATCTTTTCCGAACATGCTGAAAACTGTTGACCTCGATCATTTTCTACGACGGACATATCTCTACAGAATATGATTTTGAAAGAATGAGAGAAACACTTGAGCTGTCCATTTCTGATTTCAATAGTTTGTTTTTCTATACATACTGCATAGTGTTCTAATAGAAATTTTAAAAAGATTTTAGTTCTCATTGAGATTTGACTTACCTATGGCATTTCTAATATGTCTATTTTCTAGAGACTTCAGATTTTCGAAAAACTTGTATTTTCGAATTTTGCTCATAAACTTTATCCATATAGAGAGCTCAATTAGATTAGGTTGCATAAAAAAATTCACAAGTGCTGAACAAAGTTTCTTCCAGATATGAGATTTTCAAGATATAGACCCTTTTTCATGGATAGTGTATACAGCATGCATTTTTGAAAGACTTATATCTCGAAAAAATTTTGTTCAAAACTTGTGAATTTTTTGTTATGAAAGCTAGTCTAGTTGAGTTCTCTAGATAGGCAAGATTTAAGATTAATACTCAAGAAAACAAGTTTTTAGAAAACTTCAGATCTCTAGAAAATAAACATTAAAAAATCAATAGCTTAGTCAAATATCAATAGGTAAAATATCATTGATATCGGAAAGGGACAGCTATACAAAGTTCCCTCGTAAACTGTAGCTTTTACCTAAATAGGGCTACAAGTATTTTCTCAAGAGCTCTTTTCAACGTAAAACGATTGTTGATTAGGCAAAAAAAATAGTGCATTCCGTGAAGTAGCTTCTGATCTACAAACTAGTATATAAATAAAAATCCTAACTATTAATGTCGAATTTCAATAGTGAAAATACAAAAATTTTCCTTGCAAACTAATTGTTTCGAACTTTTCAAAGACTATTTTATTACTGTGTCGAACAAAACCGAAAACAATATTGCTCAGTTCATATTTAAAAAGAGCACAACTCGTCGCAAGTCGAAAATGAACAAACATCTTTTCTATAATCCTTCGATCGTCTGTCATTTATTAACTAACTTGTTTTATCCGAATTTCTTTTTCATTAACAAATAAAAGACATAATTCCATAACATTAAAGCATATGGAAATTTTTTCGTCGATTGAACTAAATAATAAAATATAAAAATTCTTTTTTTGTTTTTTAATTTTATAAAATAACTTTTCTTACTTATTTGTTTGAGATACAATATGTCGAATAAAATCTTCCACAGAATGAAATAATTTATTTTCATTTTGATTAAATTGAAATTGTTTTTTATTTTGGCATTTATTCATATGTATACCAATTAATTCAATAAAATAAATAATTAATTTAATACGATAATATGGATTAGTTTTAGTTATATTTGATTGTAAAAATCTTGTAAAATAATCATCTTCAATTAATGATGAACGATATTTTGTTTTAGATATTATTTCACATAAATCATATTCAATTAAATCAAATAATAAATCAAATAATATATTTATTATTAATGAATATTGATGACATTTAAAACAATTATCATTTAAATCTTTGTCATCATTATGATTATATGTTGGTAATTCAATTAATAAATAACGTATATGTGATGTTATACCAAATTGTATAAATGAAAATTCTTGTTGATCATTATAAGAATTTCGTAAAATAAACATTTTTATATAATTTATTATCATTATGGAAACAAATGATGGATCAATATTATAATAAGATGAATTTATTGCATGTTCAAATGTAATTATAGGAGAATTTTCATATGTTTTATTTAATGGATGAATATGTTTTTCATGACATATAAGTATATGTTCAAGAAGAAGATATTCAAGATTAAATAACCATTTAATATGCATTAGTGATGAATGAACAGCATGATCAAGAAGTTTTTCACGAGTACGAATATCGTATGAAATCGAATACCTAAATATTAGTATTGTCTCATTGATACGAAATTTTCAAAAGGCATGTGACTGAATTTAAAAGAAATATTTCTCAGTACAGCTTTTTCCGAGCTGAAATATAGAAGCCAAATACATTATTATTCATTAAAGATTATCTCATTATTAGTAGTGTACATTTTAGTAGCTTAATTATACACTCTTTTCATTGTTTGCTGTTCTCTTTAACCTTAAAATTTTAACCGAAGTTTAAGGTCATTGAGTAATTTTCTACAGCAAGCGTAAGTATAAATCANGATTTTTTGATAGTTTCTCCGTGTTCATCAGCGTCTCATACAAGAATGGAACTAATTCTCTCTTAAATCACATGTTATTAGAAGAGAAAGAATATTGAAAAAAGAAATTTTGAATGTTAAGAATTTGTTTTATTTTGAAATAGATTTTGAGAATTGACAGATGAAATAACAAGACTTCTGTAAAAATTTCCAAGAAATAGTTTCGGCATTGAGCATTGATATCTTTCTTTTTTCTTTTTCATATTTTTAATCAAGAATTAATCAAAATAAAAGAAAAAACATTAAAGAAATATCATCATGAAATATATGTCCTAAATGAATAATATTATTTGAAAAGAAAAATATGATCTATTCTAGTGATCCACGAATAATGATAAATCATCATTACTGTGTACTTATTCCTTTTTTAGGTAAGAAAAGTCAGCAGTGGATTCGAGTTTTTCTTGTTGATATTCGCTCTTGGACTTACGATGGCTCTTCAATTGGTTGTGATGGAGAGAGGATTGAATTCTCTATCGAAATGTTCAGGTTTTCGAATTGGACATTTCCAAAAACAACTAGAAATTCTGGAGAATTCTAGTTCATAAAGTTCTGTTTGAGTAACAAAACGACGCACTTGTGGCAAGTGTGCATGCCAAAGATTGTATTCTTTACGTGAATTTTTGTGCTAGATAAAAGCGAGTGCAGTGTGCTGGTCACTAAGAAGTTTCAATTTCTTTAGAAAGAGTAGATAAGTTTCCTTAACGGCAAATTCGAATAAAAATATTCTGGTGTTCTTTGAGCAAGCGATATTGTATCTTTAGAGTAACAATTCTGTACTGTTTAGGACTTGAATACGTTAGGCATCTTAGTTAAACATTGTTTTGTGCAGTTTGTAGTCATTATTATAGTAGTTATATGAAAATTTATAAAAATTAAGAGGAATGATCAAGATTCCGATAGACATTAGTAAAATTTGCGTACATGTTTTGCTTAGATATTGAGAATGGGTGACACACCTGATGGAAAATTTCAAATAAGTCTGCTTGTGACAGATTTCTTATTTTTGTGTATTTTTCACTGCATGATTTTCTTATTAATTGAAATGCAGATTCTTATCTGAAAACTAGCTCGTCTATGAATTGTGTATATTTAGGTTAAGAAACGGTTCTTACTACAGCATCGGTGCGATGAATGTTCTGATCCGCACAGTGTTAATTTTTGTCTTTCATGGGTTCATTCATGTCGTTATGCAAAAGAAAAAGAAATCAGATTGGTAGATTGGTCCGCTGTCGTGCACATCTCAATGTATTTTAGTTTGCAACCACTCATACTCCGAATGATTCTAATTTAAAATTATGTTCTGTTTCTCGACAACTGTCATTCAAGCTGTTTCACACAACACTATACTGCAAACAATGCGAAGATAAACTTGGCCTCGAAAACAGAAAACCGATAGAGGACGGAGTGAAAGAAGGTAATGTGAACATGTGAAAGACAGAGAAGACGTAAGAATGCAAAAAGAGTAATAGAAAGCAAGCGAAAACGAGGTATAGAAATAGAATTGTGATGATGAAAAATGAGAGAAAAAGATGCAAGGACAGCAAGGGTGGGTACAAAAAGAACAAAGGAGATGGCGAGAAATAAAAGAAAGCAAGGAAAAGATATGAAGACAATCAGCGAGAAGGAGAGACGAGGGCTACAAAGAGTGAGAAAGAGAGACAAAAAGGCAGTAGATAGTACCGAAAGAGAGAACCGGATACGCGACTATTTGATGAAATGTATAAAAGATGAGTAGAAGCAACAGATACAAATTAGAAAAGATATAAATATTCATTGATCAACAACATATGCAGTTATTCACATGAGCAGCAAAAGTGCAACGATTTATCAAGACATAAACTTGAGATGATTATTGACGCCGTATATGAGGATCTAACATCCATCGTCAGCATTATCTGCTTTTGTTCTGCTTCATAGAAAACATTATTCAAAACTACTAGTGCAGTCTAAGTCAGCTGTACTATGTTCCAAAGTCATGTAATGGATGGGAATTTTTTCGAAGTAATAAATGCTTTAGCCAGTCCTTCAATGTAATACAAATTAAAGAGAGAGGAAAAGAGAAAAGGGAGAGCTGATATCATATCAATCGATAGCCCTAGAGTAATCTCTTCTGCTCTCTATCAATTGATCAACAATCATTCAGCAAAAAAATCATCAAAAAGAATCATTTCTACTGATTTTACTCACATAAATCACATTATATTCGGTCTTATATAACATTTTGAGCGAGAGTACGCTTTATCCAGCGTCAAAACCTTGCCGAACCACTGTCAAGTATCAATACAGTCTTCACAAGCTTTTATATACAACTCACACAATAGCGGGAGCTGTCAGTTGAAGAATCGGCTTATCGATGAAGTTTATATATTTCGTTCGGGTTATCTATGGTACTGTAATTGAGATACTAAGGTAGCACTCAAATCAACTGGATTTATCATCTATCTTTTTCTACAGATTCTATCTGTACTAGTTATGATACTAGTTAAATGCATAGAGCGTCTTAGATTCTCATTCTCTTTGTATGTTTTCATCATAATCATAATAGAACTATCAGAAATCATTGACATTATTTTTCTATCATACACCAATTTTATTTTTACTGACTTGTCTGCAACTGTATCTGATATGGGGTACGAAAGATAATAATATATTGCAACGATCAAAATTCGAATTTTTCTTATAGTATCTTTTTCTGTCACCATCGATAAAGTATACAGTTCATTTTGTACTTCAGCAGCTCGATAGAATACACAACAAGTACAGGATAATTGAATCATACGATATCACAAGATACTAGGCCTTTTAAATGTATTTTTGATCATCTAATGATTGCTCTACAGCTAGGTTTTGATCGACTACAATCACAATGGAAAATATAATCATTCTTAAGAGGAATAGTGGATTAAGTATTTTATAAGAATTACAAGTACGAATTCATTGTTACATTAATTCTATGCATTGGTCTGTCTATTGATGGCGATCAAGATCTAAAAGCTTGAATCAGTATGGGAGATATTTGCTTCAAATCATATTTTCTTCCCTTTTTTCTCAATAATATATATATAATTATAGGTACTCTTTGCCTTTGACATGAGCATATTTCTCTTCGGACAAAACTGTTTCTCTTTAAATTTGTAGCAATAGTACTTCACGTTAAGACATAGTTTTCATGGAAGTTTAATTTTGCAACAGCGTTCTGATATAGAGATACAATCACATTACCAAAATTTTCTATTTTTGAAAAATTAAAAATTTTGATAACAAAAATAAAGAGCACTTTGCCTTTCTTATATTTCTAAAGTAATTCAACGAGTATCAGAAAAAATTCGTAGAATGATAGAAATGGAGAACATTCGAAGCTCTATCCAATTGTATATGATGTAATTTTTTCGTGCTATGAAATCTAAAACTTGAATGATCCTTTTGAGAATTATACTAAACAAAATTTCTCCTATTTTTACATTCATTTCATGCACACATATTTTCATTATAACTTCTTGTTAGCATGACATATTGTGCGAAAATTTTATGGTAAATGTATCTCATTTAGTTCTAATAGTAGTTCAAATTCCATTGAGTTTGAACAACTTTTTGAAAACGGCAGTGTCTTTGATTGTTTTGAAAGAAGAATAATCCTGAAAAAAAAAAGTTTTTTGACTTTTATCACATTTCAATACATATGACACATTTGTCGGTGTCTTAATAAATTCTCATCCACTAAGGCTGAAATTTTTCAAAACAAATTCAGTGATCAAAAATATATCTCTTTCATAAATATGAGCTCCAATATCAATAGTAGAAGAGAAATAAGCAAAAAAAATTTACTGTGCTGTTTATTTTGACCATTTACTTTTTTAACTTGACAGAAAAAATAATTTTTACTTAAAACCATTCTAGTTTTATTTATCAGAACAGAAAAACCAAAATAAACACTATATACAAGTCATTTAAATACAAAAAAGTCATCATTTTAAGCAGTTCATTTCTTTCGATGTTGTTTATAACGTGAATTATTATCATTTGATTGTCCATGTTCAATAGCTAAATGTCTTGGTTCATGAGATTGTGATCGATGTTTTTCAAATGATGGTGGTGTCATTAATAAATTATTTGCATTTGAATTAAATCCATGTCCATTGATATTTTTCAAGCCTAATTGTTCTGCTCGATTAAACCATTCACGTTCAAATTGATTTTCATCCTCAATATATTCAAATTCACGATTTTCTAATAAGCGTCCACTAGATGGATCACGTTCTTTTATTATTCTATGACCACGTTCACCAAGTCGATGAGCTATTTCCATTTTCTCTAAATTTCGACCAGTATCACGAACAGCTTTACGTGTACGAGAAAAACCTAAATAGAAAAATCTTGTTTAGAAACCGAACTATTCATAAAATCCTATAGTATACCTTCAGGTCCATGTAATTTTTCTGATGTCGCTTGAATAACTCTTGGCTGTCCACCATTGCTTCGATCCATACTCATAACACTTGATGAACTAAATGAAACCCCTTGACCATTTGGTCCACCAAAATCATTACTATTCATTCTCGTTTCTATATGACTCATCATTTGATGCATATTATCCATAGCATTTTGCATATATGCAAATGGATTACCAAATATATCTAATTCTCGATTACTGTTTTGTTGACGTTGTGTTAGCTGTCGACCATGATTATCATATCTTGGGCGATGTTCAAGTGCCAATGATTGTGGTAGATCGACACCAGAAAAAAATGGATCGTTGCGAAACGTTGAAAGAAGACTCATAATGTAGACGAAAAGATAAATAATCAAAATAAATTTTTTATATTCTTTTTTTTATCGTTTGAAACGGTGCTTATATATATGTGCGTTGGCAGAGTTGTAAGAAAAATTATTGCAGTAACGAATTTTCGCGATTGTTCTCGAAGGGCGCGTAGAAGAAAAAGAATCAGAAAGAAAAAAAAAGAAAGAGCGGCGGACCCCTTTTTTTTTTATTTGTCGTGTCTCTTTTTTTCTCGACAAATTGAGAAAAAGAATCAAAAAGAAAGAACAACAATTCATGAAATATATACAAGGTCGCTTTTTATTGTGCAATAAGAATAACATAAATTATTCAATGAAAACTTCGTCTAATGTTTCTGGAGAATATTGTGATTCTTCAGACGACCGATTAATTAATTTTTTATTCGTTTTTTTTTTATCATAATAACGAATTCCACAGATACACATCAATAAAATCAAAAATAATGACATAAATGTAGAGATTTTTGATAAATCACTAGTCATTGTTCTATTTGATAACGCTGAAGAATTATTTAGACTATCTTCGAATTTTCTTAATCTATAATATCAATATATGAAAATTGTATTCGAATGAAAAACATAATGACATACAATATATGAGTGCCTTTGGGATTTGTTTTCTCAAATTCTTCAACCTATAAGAAAATAATTCTTTTCCTTTTGTTATCAATAAGAATGTGTAGTTTCAGTTTACTAACCACCGAGTTAGTGCTCACTGAACCGTTGGAACACATCGCTATATAAAGGGTATATATTTTGAAAGAGTTGGTGTTTCAATGTTGCAGCAAATGCGGATGTTAGTGACTAACTGTTCAGTATTTAGATCTACTGTAAAAAGGTCGGAAGGAAAAATGTCAAAAAATCAATATAGAACAGGAAAAATGTCAAGTGGATAAATGTATGAGAGGAAAAATATTGAAAACAGTTGTGTCTCCAGGGGTGGATGTGAATGTAGGTGAAGAGAAGACTAGAATCCACACTCAGCGGCGGATTAAGAGAGAAGAAGGAGGCAATTACTTCCTTCCAAAAGATTTGTCCGATTTTCTCGAGTAGAAGAGGCTAAAAACCAAACTGATACTACCTTTAATGAGCTTCAAAACACTTTTTTATGATTATAATCGCCTCTCTTCTCAGCCGAAGCACCCGATATCATAAAAATTCTAGATCTGTCATTGTCCACATTCAGAACAACATTCACATCAATAGTACACATCCATAGTTATTAATTCAGAATCATATTAAACTCACAGCTCTATAGATCATGTTATGATCTAGTGGATTTTCAGACTTGAATGGATAATAATCTAAACATTCTATCGTATGGATAAATAATACACCATATGATTTTTGAACATACAACAAATCCATGACCAATCAGCTTTATCGGTAGTCGATTGATTCCAATAATATTGATGACAAATCCCAATAGTTAATTTTAAATTAACCACATATGAATATCAAAAAGTTAAACAAATAGATATTAGAAAAAAAAGACAAAAATACGGAAGACAAAAATACATGATTAAAACTCACTCACACATCATATTAAAATAATTATTGTTCTCATATTGAAATACAATTTGATTTGTTCGAATTTCACCATTGTTGAAAGAACTAGTTGTTCTCTCGACAGAAAAAGGTAAAAGTTTTAATTGAATAAAAAGAAAATAACAAATTCATATTCTTCTTCTTACTAAATATTTATGATCCGTTAATTTACCAATCATTAATTTACTTGAATGATTACCATGAAAAATTAAATTAATTTTTTCGATACTTGTGTATCCTGTTTTATATTCAGTAATAATTGTAGCGGTTGTTGGTATAAATTTTCTACACAAATCTTTTGAACATTTAGATGAAAACAAAAGGAGTTCATTTGCATGTTTCTTTTTATTCAGAATTTCACATAATAAATCCAGTTGATCAATTTCAATAATAACACGTTGGTCTATTGCTGATAATGATAAATCACATGAAAGATTATTTTCTAATAATGTTTGATGAAATAGATCATCATTTGGAAAATGATCAAGATAAAATAATGGTCCACTTTTTTCACAACGAAATAATGATGGTACATTATTTATATGAAATTTTATTTCGCTTTTAAAACAAAAAATAAAATAGTATTGAGTCAAAAAGAAAATTAAGAAACGTATGTTTTTATTTGATACAAACATTTAACCGAAAAGAAAGAATTTAATTATTAAATAACTCAGGGCGGGATAAAATAACTTTAGGAGTATAAATTATTATTATAGTGTGACCTTTTAATAATATGGAATTTATCAAGATATTAAAAAATAAAAACGAAATTTAAAATTCAGTTTCACAAATTTAGGTGAACCATAACGCTAAATGTGTTATATAACCAATGATGGGAAAGTCTTGACATAAAATATTCGTCCATTTTTTGGCCACTAAAAAACAAATGGGTGGAACCACAAGCAATTAGTCACAATCGAAGTTTCTCTCTACTTTCGAATATATATGTTCAGATTTTCTTTCTAAGATAAGATTAAACAATTATCAGTAAGTTTAGTAAAAAAAACCAACACTGTGTCTATACAATAGAAAATAGTGGTTTCGACACAGTCCTTAGCTTGGGTCTTGGAACGACTTCAACTCAACATCATTTGAGAGCCCTAGATTCTGTATAAAACGAAATCTTATCTATACGATTTCACTAAAGAGCTAGTTTCTATGGAAATTGACATTGTTCAGAAAAATCACTGTTTCAGAAATTGCTTTTAAAAATAGAAAAGTTTTATAATCTATCATGCAAATTACATAGCATGTTTTGTGGAGTAAAGTTTGCTCTACAAAACTATTGTTTCTCATTTTAAATTTAATAAATTTCAATCGAAATATAAAATTGGCCAAAATAGTATTCTACGCAAGTACTATTTTCTACCTTTTCAAACAATCTAATGACAGTTCTCAAATCTTACCTCAAAACGAAACGCTAAACATATATTCGAAAAGAGCGAAAAATTTTTTATTCTAGCCAACAGCTGTTGAGTCTAATCCAGCTGTTCGAAAAATGAGCAAATATTGTGTACCAAGACTTTTGCGCCATAGGTTAAGAGAAAAGAGTAAATATACTTGAATATTTTATCCAATGAACTTAATATTTCAAATATAATTATTGAGAAATGTTCTCGTCATTGTTTATGATTATATTATCAAAAACTTAGTAGCTAACGAAAATAGAACATTTCAAAAAACATAGAAAGCACCTCTCTCATTTTGATAAGAGACATGGAGGGTTGTGTCTTAAAAAAGAATTTCTTGAGAATAATATACTACTTATATGCCATTATTAGTTGTTTTGAATTCATATAATTTTATTTTCGATAGATAAATACTGTCAGTTATTTTTTGTTTGATGTCTAAAAATAATTAGTAATTGTCATTTAATTTTCAATTTTTTTTACAGACACAATGAATATTCTAAGGAGCTTAAAGAACATATGTACTGAACTTTGCACTTTTTATTATTGAATTTACTATCAGCAATGAAATATGGCTAGACTATAATAGATACACTAATTCAATTAACAAAATTTTGTGAACAAAGTAAATTTCATATGCAATCCATTATACTCATGAGAATATTATTGTTCTTCCATTTGTTTAACGTACTATTTTCGTTACAAAAAACTTTCATGTATATCTTTTTTGATATAAAATTGAAAGTATATTCGATGATATTTGAAAAAAATCTGAAATCTGTTAGTAAAATTAATTTTTTTCAATGAACATATCGATCAAACGGATTTGCTCTTTTTCCTAAAAAAGACAGTACTCTTTTCTATATAAATGACAATAAGGAAAAAAAGCGTGTCTATTTACGAATATCCAATCATTCATATTCATCATTTTACGTATGTTCTGTTTTATTTATATAAACAAAAAAAGAAAGCAGATTGTCTCTATTTAAACGATTTCATTCGACAAACTCTCATTCGATATAATAGAATTTTGTGATTCTACAGATGATCGTGCAAGTATAAGATCATCAGATTCTTTTAATCCAACTTGGTACTTCTTATACGTATAAAATATTCCAGAAACAATAATCAGTATCAATAGAAGAATAAATATGGGCATTAATGAGCCTTTGTTCGTTTGATTTAATGACATTGAAGAATTATCTAAGAATTCGGTTAAATTCCAAAGTTGAAATACTGGCCTATAGAAATATTTTTAAAAAAAGTAAATGATTTTTTTTTATTAGATGATTGATTTTAACTTACGAAATACGAAGTTTAGATAAGTTTGCTTTTTCGAAATCTTCAATCTAGAATTCTATTTCATCCCATTATTATTGGTTTTTTTTGTTACTATAAATAATTTCGAAAACAAAACTTACAGCTTTACTAATCATTGTATCATCCATTGGATCTTCGGCACCTGATGGATAATAATCTAAAGTATAGAAGAAAAAACGATTGTCTTGTTTTTGTAATAAAACAAAATTTATCTAATACTTACAACATAACCATGTCCAACCTTCTCCTGATGAAGTCATTTTCCCACTTCTTGTTTGAATAAAATTTTTGAAAACTCCATATTGAAAACGACAAATAGACTTTTTATTTTTTGGATTATTTATATAAGTATACCTGAATTCTCAATGTAAAAAATCAAATTAAATCATTTTCTTTTTCTTCTTAACAACAATAAAAAGAAGATAAGTCAAGTAATAAACGTACTCGCACATCATACTAAGATATTTATCTTGGTTCATTTTAAAAACAATTTGATTTTTTCGAAAACCTCTTTTTGTATAACCATCATCATTCAACTTAAATAAAAAAATAATCAAATGAAAAATAATTATTAATTCTAATGTTTTGAGTACATTTAATTCTAGTACATTGCGTCAATGAATCATTTAAGTTATTATTTGTATCAAGATAAGATAATATAGGAAGTTTTTACACAAAATAGCTAATTCAAATAAACAGACAAACATCATAGATATTTTTCGTACATGAAAGGCTTGAATGAACGAAATTGTTTTGATTATATTAGTTCTGTTCACATAATCAAAAAAATTGAAATCATATGATAGTAGAAAAAAATATAAAAGGCATACAATGAAGAAGTGAAAGGAGAATGTAAGAAATAAGTAATACTTATAATAACAGACAAGGATATTTTCATTTGACCATCAACTTTTGCATTAGCATGAGCGAAAAATTTACTGCTCGATTGTTGGTGGTTTAAACAAGTTCCTCTGTCAGTCAATGCAAGTCCTACAATACCAAAGTAAGGTTCAGTTCAAGTATTATATTGTTGAAATCGAATGAATTTGTTCAAGTACTCTCAGATCATGAGGCGATATGTCAACACTTGATTTTCAAAACGCTACAGCTAGACCGATAACTTCAACCTGACCTTGTCTGTTAACCAGGAAGAATTCTATAGAGATGAATGAGGCTAGGTTAAGATTTCAAACTTTGGTCTTGCCTAGCAGACAGCAAGCGGCTACATCAGCAGCTTTTCTGTCGAGCACTCACACTCACTAGGGAACGATCCAAGTTGATACCTGCTGTTCGGAGTTCATACAAAGTCTCGGTAAGACTAGAAAAATTCTAAAATTGTTCGTGCCCATCAACTTCTGGAGCTGAGTTATGATCATTTTGCTGAATTTTCGATTTGAATTTTTGTCCATGAACAGGCAGAATAGCTAATAGAATATTCTAAAAGTCTCTGTCGAAAAGAATGCTTATTAGTCGGAATATTGAATTTCCAGAACATGATCATTTGCCACAAAAATCGAGTTTACTTGGAAACTCAATATCCCGACAATTGAACATTCTTTTCCACTGAAACATTCAGGATATTCCGGAAGTCAATCGGTCTGTTTATGGACGAAAATTCAAATCGAAAATTTAGTAAAGTGGTTATAACTTGGTTTCACAGATCTATGGCGATGAGCCATTTTCGAATTTTTCTAGTCTTATCAAGACCTTCTTGGGAACCCAATATGAACTCAAATGGTGGTATCAATCTGCGTAGTTTTTCTCGTGAAAATCCTAACGTTCAGAATTTAGAATTCATCTAAATCCGTCATGGTTGTTTCATTTGAATAAAAAAAAATTTCTTCTCGTTTCTTTCTTACAGAAAATACATATTGATCTTCACCTATTTGAATATTTTCTGTTCCAATGCCTCTTATATCGAAATCGATTAATGTGGGTTTATTTGATATTGTTGTTCTATGATTGGTAATTATTGTTGCAAATAATGGTGTTAATCGTATACATCGATCATCTATTGAACAATTTGATTTAAAAAATAATATTTCATTAATACGATCTTCTAGTTTTGAAAATTGAAAATTACATTGTGAAATAAGTTTATCAACGTCAAATATAATACGTTTATCTGGTATTATTAAAGATAAATCACAATCCTTAATTTGATTTGTTATAGTTTGATTAAATAATTGATTTGTTGGAAAATTATCAAAATAAAAAACACGTCCATTTTGTTTACATCGAAATAATGATGGAACATTAATATTAAATTTTATTTCAGTTTTTATCGATATAACAATTATATGAATATCAATAAAGAAAATAATAGAAAAAAATTGCATGTGTATTTTTAAAAAAAACAAAGAATTTTAACAGCGCAAAAATTAGAATAAGATTAGAATTTTTAATTGATTTATTGTTGAGTTAAGATTTATTTTCATTTTGCTTTATTTAAAATAATGTTCTTTATTCAAGATAAGAAGAAAAAAAACAAGAAAAAAAAAGAAGAATTCATATTTTATTATGAATACTTTGTTGAATTATTTTTAGATTCTTCTCTAATTTCTCATCAATATTGTCAATGTGACACACGAGTCACTATTTTTAGACGCTTTCTGACATATACAAGTTTGCATTATCATTTTTTATGCTTCTGTCACACTTTCTAATTAACCATCTCATCACAACTTTAAGGACAAAAATGCTTCACATGAATTCAATTTTAAAATTATTACCTCATCGTTCTCTCTTGATAATGCTGGACCACCAGAAGCTATTCAATAATCATCTAATTGAATCATAAGAGAAAGATCTCAAAAATATTACGAAAGATTGTATGGAAGAAGAAACATATGTATTGCTTAATTATATGATCAACATTTTCTGCTAAGACAAAGGCGTCATTACATCAAGAAATAGGATACATTCTTCAGAAAAATAATCTCGAATTAAAATTCAGTACATATAATATACCATTGGGATCTATTATATGAATCCTACATATAAAATCCAATAACCAGTACATATATATATATGATTGAAGGCATGTTTTTAAATATTCACACACACACAAATGGCACAAAAGTACGTAATATTAGATAAAATTTAGTTGACTATAGCAAGACACAAAAGTTATATTAATATAAGAAATCATGTGATCATAGAGGTTTTAACATAATATTTAACCCCTTTCAGGATGAATTCTCTTTTTTCTAATCAGTGCTATTGAGTTTTCAAAGACTGGTACGACGCATATGCATGTTGATCGTACTAAATTATAGAGAAATACCAGCTAGATCAATTCCCATCCTGAAAGACTTAATCCACAACTAAAGCTTTTGCCTTTTTCTATGTAGGATAAATACTCTTATTTCTTGATAACTTAATTTCTTTTGGACGAGATCGATCCATAGTTTCTAGACGAAAAGTGCGATTCAATATAAGTTAAAAACCAATTTTATAATTTGTGAATAATTCATGCCTGATTATGATTAATTTATTAACAGATGAGATATTGTATGAATACGAATAAAGAACAGTACACTTTATTTTGTCTTATTATGTTTCTAACCTTGTCGTTTCATGTGCCCGAATTGTAGATATGTATTCATAAAGATACAAACCTTTTTTGTTCGTACTATTCATTAATTAAATATAGAAAGAGAAAAGAACAAAAAACAGTGTCTTGTCGTTTATGATCTAAATTTACAAATTAAAAAGTCGGAAGGAAATATTGCTTTCAAGATTTTACTCAAACGATTCCCATTTCAAAAACTCAAAACATTTATCATCGAATGTGATATTGATCTTTCATTTTCACGCTAAGCAAACTACAACTACAACTCATCAATCAAAATTTTTCGTTTTCTTTCACTCTATTACACCTTTCATTTTCCTTTTATTCGCCTCTCACACTGTCAACTACTAATTCACAATGAAATATACTGTTTAACAAATGTAATTTCTAACCATACTACTATTTGTTATGATTAATGTTACAGATGAACGCTCACAACAATCATTTTCTTAACTATTCGCCCTTGGTTTTTTGTCCGTATTCATCTTTTCTTTTCTTCATTTGTAATCACTGATATATAAACATAGAAATTACTTCAATCAAATATCAATATAATCCGTCATAGCATTACCCTATTATAGATGAGCAGAAAATATCATGGCTAATTCTAGTGCATCATCAGTCGATTTATCAATAGTTAACAATGATCAATCTATTCAAGTCTGTGATGTAGAAAATTCTTCAACTAATGAAAAATCGAACACAACAATATCTGCAAATAGTAAAATGATATCTAAACGAAAAAAGACATATAAAATACGACGTCAATTAACTTATAAATTAAATCAAATGAAGCAAGTTATATATGAAGAAAATTTAATACGTGAAAAAATACATCGTTTAAACTTAGAAAAACAACATATACAAAGTTTATTGCTTCAACTACATATTATAGAATCAATTGATAGAAAAAAGCATTCACGACGTCGTTAATAATGATTACAAAAAGAAGAACATAAAATGATTGGAACTTTTTTATATATTTAATGAAATCATTTTTTGTCAGTTTATATTCATAGTATTTACTGTATAGAATTTTTTATGCTTAAAAACAAATATAAATTATTGATAAATTGTATTCTTTAATAAAGCATATAATTCGTTTTTCTTTTTCGATCAAAATTATTTCATATTTAAAGAAATATATACTTGTAAAGACCTTAAAATATTATATTCAAATAACTGAAACGATTTTTACTATGATGCTAATAGAGAAGAAACAACATTGATCGAGATTTTTTTATCACAATAATACTATTTGATATATTAACAATAATAAACAGATTTTTACAATACAAAATTACGATTTTTTTAATGTAATTTTTCCATATTAAGAAATATTGAATTATTCCTATTTTCTTTATCTTTATTATATTCACAATAAGAAAAAGCATAAACACAAAATCGAACTCGTGTGCCCTTGACTCTCTAGTTTTAATACATGTTCCATATTTTTCTTCTATAATAGGATCACCATAACAGAGACTAACTAATCATTTTTTGTAGGTCTTTCTGTTAGCTGAATCATTGCTTTGTCGCCATTCTTTACTTTAACTTGTAACAGGCCTGCTAGTGACAAAGGCAATACAAAATAAACGTTGCATGCAATCAAAAGACAATAAATCACTCGTAACTAATCATAAACAATTTTCCACATTTTGAACAAATACATTATCAAGATTTAGAAAACTGACGATTCGAATATTTATAAGACACATTCTTTACTATAAATTTTGAATAAATAAATGATATGTTGTAGGCGAATTTAGAACTCAACTAGAAATAATGTCTTACGCTTGACAGATTCTATGAGATCTCTACCATACAATACACAAGTATTTGAAAATCATATAAAATTTTCATGATTTGTAGGTTATATTAACTTAATAAAACCTACAAGGCCAATTCTTCAAATTTCACTAATGAATAGACAAATAATGGGGATAATATTTTTCTATGGTTTTCTATAGATAACCACAGTAATTAGGATTTTTTCGAACATGATCCCAATCAATTAAGAATTTTTCCAGTCAAAAATATTAAGTAGAAACTATTAGATATATTCTGATAGTACCTCATTTTGGCTACCTTTGACTGCAATACATTGGGATTTTTTCAATATCTTGACCTTATTTTCCTTTCATGTATGTACCGCATTTACTAAAGTATAGCGCACATTCTTGTGCTAAAGAAACTGCGAAAAAATGGAATTTCCAAGCATAGCCATATATAGAGTTTTGTAGAGAATCACTTCACCTCAAGGGGGAAAAAGCGAAAATGTCGTACTCCCATGTACTCCCACGTACTCCCAGGATAAGCTGTAACGATCTTTGAGATTTTTCTAATCACTTAAAGTCTACTATCGATCTGTGTTACGATGCACTAGCTGGAGTACAGTGAATGTGAGGCTGGCGGATACTTTGCCCGCAAATACATGTTTGTACTCCCAAAAGGGGAGTACGACGAAGTATTTGAGCCTGATTGTCCACCAGTCTCACATTCACTGTACTCCAGCTAGTGCATCGTAACACAGATCGATAGTAGACTTTAAGTGATTAGAAAAATCTCAAAGATCGTTACAACTTATCCTGGGAGTACGTGGGAGTACATGGGAGTACGACATTTTCGCTTTTCCCCCCTTGCTTCACCTACAACATGCGCTGAACTCGACCTTTTTCATTTTTGATCGGGCAAAAAGCGAAACAAAGAAAGATGACAAATCGCGATTTTTCATTATTCAAGAGGACAGTATTTCTATGACGTCAACTATGTTGTATAAAAGTGAACACTGATTTCGGGGAAACTTTCACCACCTGTAGAGATTCTAGTTCTAAGCATTTAAATAAGAAAAGATGTTTTTAAGAATTTTTATTTTCATAGAGATAGATTCAGAATACTTTCAGCAGCTAAGAACAAAAAAGTCTCAAAAAACGTTTTCTCTTGAATAATTCTGATACATTGTTTTTGATAGTTTAATTGACTAAAATAAGATCAAAAATAAAATCTAAAACCATTATTCAGACCTTCTTGTAAGACAGCGCATCGAACCATACTAAATTTATTTTCTATTTGGGCAAAAATTAATTCATATATATCTCATTCACTGCGGATCTGCTCTTCAGTATAGTGCCAACTTGCGTCCGCAATTACGCAAAAAAGTGGAAACAACTTTTTTGAAAATTGAAGTCGGTTTCAATATGATTTGATATTCCGTCTCACAAGAAATCTGAATAATGGTCTTAGATTTTATATTTGATCTTATTTCAGTGCATTAAACTATCAAAAACAATTTGTCAAAACTATTCAAGAGAAAATGTTTTTTGAGACTTTTTTGTTGTTAGCTACTGGAAGTATTCTGAATCTATCTCTATGAAAATAAAAATTCTTAAGAACATCTTTTCTTATCTAAATGCTTAGAACTAGAATCTCTACAGGTGGTGAAAGTTTCCCCGAAATCAGTGTTCACTCTTGTACAACATAGTTGACGTCATAGAAATACTGTCCTCTTGAATAATGAAAAATCGCGATTTGTCATCTTTCTTTGTTTCGCATTTTGTAAGGTCAAAAATGAAAAAGATCGAGTTCAGTGCATGTTGTAGGCCAAATGATTCTCTATAAAAGCCTATATATGGTTATACTTCAGGATTCCATTTTTCAAAACTTTTCTTAGCAGAACAATGTACATACTATGAATTAGAGAGTGTGTCATATTAATGGAATGATCATAAGACAAAGGTATTGATACAGCCACAGTCTGCTATAGATAGATTATAGCCAATATCAACATCAATCATATATATATAATATTAATATTTTCTGTGTTTAAATTGAAAGGCTCATTTTTTGATAAAATCTTAGTTTCTGTGATTGATACAAAAACTTTACGGTATATCATCTTTTACATATACTCATTTATGAATGAAGTTTATAATACTACGTAATATTATAGATAATGTTATGTCAACATTGTCTACAAGTCCTGAAAGTTTGATACGATTTGGAAATGACCGATATAAACGTGAAAGAGACTCCATGAAATACGCGAGCTACGTGCGTTACATCAAAAATAGAGTGTAATGAAAAAAAGACAAAAGAAATATAAATATGAATGTACTCGTTACAACCGAATACAAAATGTCTGAATCGGATTCAACAATCGGTTACACATGCGATTATCAAGACAAGTGCGCTACAAAACAAAGTTCTTCTCGAAAACAAAATGTTATTCAAAACGAAGTCGTAGTACAAATATTAATAAATATATTAAAATGTTGTCTTGTAAATTGTTTAGTGGAATCAAAATATACTGTTGAACAAAAAACAAACAATTGTTCCATTCAGATTTTATTTGTTTTGATTGTATGAATTTATCTCTAGACGAATTCAAATATTGCCCCGACAAAATTCAAATTCCAATTATTTTAATTTTGTCTATCACAGATATACTCATTGTTACTATCCAGAAATTTAGCATATTCATTCATACTTATATTTTGTCAATAAAAAAGATATCTATCCAGTTCATTACTCATGCCAAAATAGTCTAACAAACATCGATCGAAGAAAAATAAATAAATAAATAAATCGCAACGAGAGAAAACAGCATAAGTGGAAATCAATTGTACTCGACCTCAGATAAGCTTTCACTTCAATCAATTGAAGTAAACTATCATATACATAATAATCGACAAATTATTGAACATATATTAAACAGTTAGCAAATCACTTAAAACATTCACATCATTCACTGAACTCCAAAACTGTTTATTCATACATATATCATGAAATCTCATTTGAATAGAGAAGACGTATGTTTCATGCATCATCTACACATATTACTTACCATTGAATTCAGCTCATTACTTCTATTTCTCGTTTTAAAATATTGAGAGTACCACTTCATCTTAATATACTGTACATATTATGCACTATGGTGTATTAAATCTAGGTCAATAAACGCTTAACAAGCATCACAATCCAATGTCTTTTAGTCAATACTCCAACCTCATGTTGATAGAAGTAATCAATAATCTTAATTTTCATTGAATTCTAATTTAGAACGAAGAAAAATTTAATAATAAATAATTTATTTCAACTAAAAACAAGAAATTAAATAAAAACAAGGTATTGACGAATAATTCTTTTTTTTATAAGACCCAAACTTTAATTGTGTGTGTTGATGTAATGTTTGATGGATAAATTAAATGATGAATATTAGGTGCCAACGATTTTCTGGTTTTCTTTGTATTTGGTGTTGATGTATCAATAGGTAGCGGCGCACATTTCGATAATGAATAACGGACATGCACAGGTCGTGGAGTTGAACATAAATTTGGTATAAGTGTTGAATTGATTTTTTTTGGTGTTGATGTTGATTGAGGTTCAAATTTAATGAAACTAAAATAACAAGGCAGTAAAAAATATATTAGATTATTTTCTATCATTAAATTTCATAGACATTTACCTCATGATTTATACTATAATATAAAATATTGTGTCTATGTAATATTTAGTTGTAAGTGCTTGATAAGTCAGTTGAATTAGAAATGATAACAAAACTGCCAGTTACATATGGATAAAGTTAAAATTAGTAATTATAACTTTCGAAAATTGCTTGCAATCAATAATAGAAACTAATAACAATTGATTCGATGTAATCAAAAAAAAACCTTAATTGATGTAATTGATTTCGATATGAGCTTAAAAATTTTTTATTCAGAAAAGGACAAGATCATATTTCTCTTTCTCTTTGATTAATTAACGAATTCGATCAGACGAAATCATAAGTGTTTAACCAGTCGTTCGATAATATGAAAAGAGGACATTTTCATTCTTGTAAATCATGATTAAATACTTTCACAGTAGATTTTAGTATCAAACACGTTTTTTTAATTTTTTGTTAAACTATTTTTCAATGTCAAATAAGATTTATGAATTCTGTTTGAATTTATCTATAGATGATTAATAGACATTTGTTACTTAAATCGTGTAGCAAAAAAAAAAAAGAAAAAAAATATTGTAATTCGATTAAGTGTAAAGGTTTCGTAAAAGTTCAAGACAAAGATAATAATGTCAGTTGATATTCTTAAAAAATTGAATGACTTTGGAAGTTTAGACTTCAAACAGAGTATATTTAATTTGTAAAAAAAACTTTATTTCGTAAGTTTATTTAAAACTTCTTTTTTTTACATTAAAAAAAAACAACCGATACTACCAAGTACAAGAAATATTAATAAATAAAATTTGTTCGTCCGGAGTAAAATCTACTCGTACATTATCGTTCATATTTTCTTTAAGTTTGTTAATTGAAACATTTGATTTTTTATTTCCATGTCCATCTGTAATTGTAACCTGATAGTTATTATGGTCATCATTTATTTCTTTGGTTCCGTCTGTAATTGATGAATTTAACGATGTATCATCATTTGAACTATATCCACTTTCATATGTTGAATTTGGTTCAGTGCAATTTTTCATTAGAAAATCTTCTAATTTAAAGTAAAAATGTGTCGGTTCATTTAATATTAAACATTGATTATTCACAGCCGGACCTGTTAATTGTATATCTTTTTCTTGTGTAGCTTCACAATAAAATGGATTATTTTCTGGAACAATTCCAGCATAATCAATTGATATTATATATCGTCCTAATGTTTTAGGAATAAATGAACATTTATATAATGAATCATTATGACGATGAACAGATACGGATGGCGGATTTTCATCAGCTAAAATTTCAATATGAAGAGTGTAAGTTGGATCGTCAAAAGGATTATCAATCGAAACCTTTTCAAAAAGAAAAAACTTATTTTTTCACGAAAAAAGCAAAATCATAAAATATTTCATCTTACTTCAAATTCAACAGGACGATGAATAATAATTTTTTCTGATAAACCGGTAATATGTATATGCGGTTTATCATGTAAGATATTTTCTTTTTTTATATGAGCAATATATGGTGAATGTTGAATATCTTTATTATGTTCAAGTATATGTATAGGACAATCACCTTCAATTAAAGGTGTATAACGTACAGTAGCCATTTGTTGTTCATAATCAATTTCTGCATGATATGATGGTTCTAAACAAAATTGTATATGATTATTATTAATTGTAGGATTTATTAATTTTTGTTGACTAAGATCAACATAAAATTCAGTTGGTACGCCAGCAATTGCACGTTGAAGACCAGGTCCAAATGGTTTTAATTTTGATAAATAATTTGTTTCATCATGTATAACATCAATAATTAATTGACGATGAATTTTATTATTATATGATATTGTTAATTTATGTTCACCTATTGACATTGGTTGATATGTTAATTCAAGTAAATCAGATGAAAGTATACGACGTTGAACAACAATTGTATGACCAAATGGATCAATAATTGAAAGTGAAAATGGATCAACTGTTGGTTTATTATGAGAGTTTATTGATGAATTTATTCGTAGACGAAAACGTGCTATTGAATTTATGATAACTTTTGTTGAACATCCATCACCTTCTAGTTCATATTGAGGAATTTCTAAGCGAACATAAAAAGAAAAATGTATAAAGATTATTTTTTGACAAAACGTTTTAGATTATTGCTTATGAATAATTAGATTTCTTACTAAATCGTGGAATTGAAAGCACTTGTGAACGAAATGGTGGATTTGTCATAATAGAATTAAGTCAATTTAGTTAAAAAATAATGATAAAATATATACTGAAATTTTATCAGATGTAACTACTTGAGTAATGTTTTTCTTTTTCTTTCTGTCATTCGAATGAAACTTATTACAGCTGATATATTTATCATTTTTTTCTCTGCATACAACCGAAATGCTAATTCGAAAATGTTACAATAGTTAAGTGTTCTATTTGGATTCGTGGAATGAATAATCATCACTCCAAAGAGCAATATAAAAACAAAAAAAAAGAAACAACATTTATTTTGTATATATGTATAGTATCATATCTTTTCAACGCTAAAAATACTTGAAGAGAAAAATTTCTATCAGCAACATTTATCAGATAAAAAACATAATCCTTGACAAGAAATAATTATTTCTTTTTTTACCTTGTACATCTATTTCTGTTGCATCTTCGGATAATGATTGTTCTTTTAATTGGTCTGAATTTTTTATAAAAACAGTAAATGGATCAGTTGTTAGTTGAATACGATTATACAAAAACGATATTTTATAAATCCCAGCTTGCGTTACTGGTTTATAGCAGCATGAAAAAAGTTTTGTATAACCTTGATCATATGTGTTTATATATTTAACATCATTTGATACGATGTTTTCATTAGGATCTAATATAACTATATCAATTGGTAAGCAAAAATTATTTTCTGATGATGATGTTAATTCAAAACAAAACAATGTTGTCTGATTGAGTCTATTATTATCATTACATGCATGAATACCTTGACCAAAACAATGTACTTCTGGTTTTTTTGATGATGAATAAATATTTGGATAAAAATAATTAAACGGTGAATATCTTAATTTATGTATAAAATCATCAAAATATTCTTCATTATATAATAATTCATTTATTGGTACTTTTGATGATAAATGTATATGAAGATATTCGTCAATTAAACATATTATTTCTTGTAAAATTCTTAAAGAATCTGAACAATGTATACGATATAGATTAGGACATATAGAATTAAAGATAGTATATAAACGACGTATACATGGTAAAACTTTTAAAAAATGATTTTCATCTATTGATGTTGATAATGGTGCTTTTTTCATATTGAGTAAATCAAGTTCCATTGGATTATTCCATACAAAATCGTTTGTATCATATAAAAAATTTGATGTTATTGGAATTGTTAAATGAAGAAGACGAGTTGATGAAGAATTCGGGTATTTCTTTGAATGATACTGGCGATGTACAACCATTTTTTTTGGAGAAAAATATTCTTTATTATACGGATGTCGATTGGCCTAGAAAATATACATAGATAAATAGAGAACTCAAGCAAACAAAATAGAGACAAGCAAAAGGATGTCAGTGTCTAGCCAGTCGTACACATATATAGACACGTTAAAAAAGAAACCGAAGGTCTGACTCTGTGGTGTTACTGTACGGTAATAGTTAAGAGAAGAAAAAAAACAAATAACGGCTATGCGTTTTGAATCGAATAACTATATTTATATTTTGGTAGCTTTAATCAATCAGCAATACTCATCACCTGTGTAAAAGTAAATACGTCCTTCATCATATAATGGCATGTTATCTTGCATATTAAGAATATATATAAGCATAAAAAGAAAAATCAATTTCGATACAAAATCAAAATAGAAATTTAAATAACACAAAGATTAAACTTTTAATCTTATTGAATCTATTATGTAAAGTATTGAGTTATATGAATATACATGTGAAATAAAAACAAGGTAGATGTCTTATTGCCAAAGTTAAAAAAAAAAACACATCATTACTATTTTTATTTGAGGAATATTTAATACAAGTTTTATGAAACAATAATGCAAATATATCGTTCATTATTTATTGCTTTTTCTTTGATATTTTATCAATGACGAAATTCCCACAGACATATGCAAGTTGCATCAAATTCTATGTGTACATATAGATCCATTCTCATAAGTTTATTTACACAAAAAAAAAAAGAAAAAACTCACATGTTCATGAAAGAAGTAATCAATGTCTTCTTAATAAAACACACTTGTAGATACTTGTGAGTTCAAATTGTTTATATATCGAAACTTCTTCTTTTGAAGAAATGCAATGAATGTCTTAAAGATGGCATGAAACCACAATCTCTCTCTCTCTCAATAGCACTGTTTAACTATATATTCATTGTTAGTCATAATTCTGCACTCTGTTCATTCAATGTCATCTTAAAGGAAACTATTAATTTCTTTTTTTTTCTCGAATTCTTACATAATCCTTACGAATGTAAAGACATTCATGAACAATAATTATTGGACTGTTACTATATCACATAGTGTAAATGGTAGATCTGATTAAATAGATGAGAATACAGAAAGAACTGAACTTACAAAATAACATGAACTATATTATAAGTTCAAATTATATATGACTAAATGGGGTTTCTAGAAAAAGAATTTACATATTATTCTTATTATCTCTAGTTATATAAATTTAAGAAAACTTTGTTTATGTATAATCGGATTGATTATAATCTAGTACATTAAAAACAAATATGATCTATAGAAACTACTTTTGATTATTATTTAAAAATAAAACAAAATCTTGATAACTTGTAAGACAGAATGCGAAATATAATTACATCAGAGGCCTCGAAACTCGGCAAGGGAGAGGATACGCCTCTTTCCTTCGTAATTGAAAAATACTCATCATTATCCAGAAAACCTTGCTTGGCTTCTAAATTACATTAGGCATATATAAAAAGTTATATCTGCGTAACATGCAAAGTTTTATAGAAAATATTCTTATTCGAGACTTAACTTGAAGTATCATGATACTATTCGATAGACACTTGACATAGACACGGATCCTTACCGTTTTATTAGAGCTCGGTTATTTTCCTACAAGAAGATGTAGTGTTCTTTTAAATTCTTATCTTGTTTTAACACAATTCATGTGAAGGTTATTATGAAATTATATTTTCACTATTAAATTTATTTCGCTGATTTCATATCTGTCCTTGATGATGTCAAAATAATTCTCGATTATTTACAAATAAACACAATCATTCGGAAGTCTTCTGTTTGTTGTATGATCTGAAGTTCTCTTATTGTTTGTCTTTATGCATTCATTTGTCTAATTATGTTTGAAGCATCAATTGCTAGACATATTCTTATTATTCATAAACCAATTGTCAAGAAATATAACAATAAAAAATAATTTGTCAGTTATTCGTTCTATTTATTTGAGTCCATTCCTTACTTATTATCATATTCAATTATATCAGAGCTATTGTTGTTTATACATAAATAATTTATATCGAATTAATTTATTTAATCAAGATTTTTTAAATTTAGGTATAAAGAATAAATTATACATATATATTAAATTTTAATATATTAATAATTAATCAAGCTATGTTGTTATAACCTTGAAGAACAACTCTACAGTTACTGTAGTGTCTATTGTGTCTACTGTCAGGTTTTTGCTTGTGCAGACTATTTATATCCTTTGACTGACTTGTAATTATTCATTTCACTTAATTATCAAAGATAATTTAAATTTGTTTGAAAAATATTTTCTAAATGAAGTCTCCTACATATTTTCTACTACACTCAGACCAATTGTTACTAATCCAGTAAATGACATATAGATCAACAAAGTTTGATATACATACCTTGATGTCAAGGTTGTTTCTACATGTCATTTAACAAAATGATGAAGTCACATAAATGAAGTTTTTACATTTTCAAACTATTACTCTTATCAAATACCATCAATAGTCAATAAAATGAACGATTTTATTAATTTTTTAGTGACCCTCAAGTTTATATGATCGAATGTTTTCTTTTACTAGTCTTCCAATGATTGGATGCAATTAACAAAAATAACAAAGAATACTTTTTTTTTCTTATTGTGAATTATATGGGTAGAAAGACTGAGGGTCGTTACATTTAGCATAACCAATGCTCCACATCATCATCATCATCATCATCATCATCATCATCATTATCGGAAATATAATGATAGACAATTCATTCATTTACCGAACAAGGAATAATATTTATGTATGATAGACTATGACCAGACAGACATCATATTTCTAGTCTATTACTTTTTAGAAGCTGCTAACAACAGAAAAGAAAGAAAAAAGATATAATTTACAGACATGAATAAGAATAATGTATACGTTTATTGTTGTTTACTTTTTTATATGGTCGATTTTTGTAGACAGAGCACCACCTTATACCTTTCTATCTGTTATTATGATTAATTGATGATTAAATTATAAACTAAACGACTTATCTCTTGCCTTTTCTCTGTACTTGCAATATATAGGGTGTACCAAAATTATAAGACCCCTTTTATTTTTGAAGTTTTTCCACAAAAACGAACAGCTAGATAAAATCTAAATAGTAATTTGGAAAGCTCTTGAAAATCTCTATCGAATATAGTATGAGCCAGAATTTCTAAAGAAACTTAGTGAAGAGAGTTTTCCAGAAAACCGTTTCATCTAAAAATCGAGTTTTTGAGAGTTTTGACAAAAAAGTTTTTAAATATAGTCATCTGAAAGAGCAAAAAATTCTGAGCAAAATGAGTGGTTGCCCAGCTCTCCACGATGTTTCCTCGCNTTGGGTCCGGGTACGAAGTTGTCGGGTCGGTTCGGACACGGGTACGGAAAAAAGCTCCGGTCCGGTTTCGGGTGAAAAAAAGTGCACCCGTGCAGCACTCTAGTAAGGACCTCATTTTTAATTTATTTTTTGCGTCTTTGCTATATTCAAAGGTGAAAAGGTGTTCAGATATATATATATGTGTGAAAAGTAACATCTAAGCTATTATTCGACAGAAGTTGCACTCAATTAGCACCAACCGTAAGAAAGTGCCATATCGGTAAAAATATTGAAAAAATGTTATCAAAATCATTTTTTACATTTTTTTTTGTGTAAAGAATTACTAACTTAGTGTTTTGTGAGTATCTCTGTCAGTTTTTGATGCATTGACTTAAATTTTTTTCCAAATGATAACCAAATTCTCTTCATAATCCAAGAAAAACAGCTTTTCAAAAGAATAACTTCAAATGGTCTAAAGCCTATTTAGTCAAGAGAAGTGTAAAAATTTGTTATGTAAAAAACCAGTATCTGTGAAAGTAGCTCTTTTTGGAGTGTAGCACTGCTGATCAGATATGGTTCTTCGATCGTTCTTTTGAAACACTATTTTTCTTGGATTTTGCAGACAATTGCACAGACTATTTTTGGGAAAAAATTTAAATCAAATCGTCAAAAACTGATAGAGATATTCACAAAATACTGAGTTAGCAATTCTTTATAGAAAAGAAGTAAACAATTATTTTGATAAAATTTTCTCATTATTTTTACCGATATGGTACTTTCTTACGGTTGATGCAAACTGAATACAATTTATGTTGAATAATAGCTTAGATGTTACTTTTCAATACCCCTGCACCTTTGAATATGGCAAAGATACGAAAAAAATCGAACTAGCATCGTTGCTTATAGAGCATCCTTTATATCATTCACTATTGAGTGTACACTGTAAGACATGAAAATTTGTTTTTGAAAACGTGAATTATCTAGTATCGAGAATGGTATAGACCGCCATCGTGTAAAAAGAACATCCGAAAGCAATGAAAATAGATTTATACCAATCGAACGTACAATTGAAACGAATTGCAATGTTTTATAATGTCACCATTATTCAGAAATATTTCAACTGAAACGACGAAAGTTGTAGTATGTATTTAATAAACATGGTCAGAACATAGTACGTGATGAATACTGATTTCTGACTGTGTCAGTCAGATACTATGAGCTTATTACTTTCATTAAATTTTTTAATGTTATGTATATAGGAATAAAACCAAGAGCACTCATGTACTTCATCATGATACCAAATTGCAATGTTACCTTCAATCATAACAAAAAATTGATAAAGAAAAAACTTCGAATCTGTTTATAATTTTTATTTCGTTTATTCATATCATAAATTGTTAAATATAGACAAATAAAAACAATTATTAAAGAAAGATGAATTGAAATAGAAAGTCTTGTATAAGAAAAAAACACAAGTATTATCTTTTATCTTGTTGACGAGTCTGAGAATATGAATCCTAATAATCAAATGATTATACACATAGTTATTTTGATCTAATAAAATTTAAACAATAGAACTAATTGATCAAATAATTATCAATAAGATTGTTGATCGTAAACAATTTAGATACAACAAAAGATTCATATGTTTTATTTTAAAAAAAAACTCATATTATTATTATTAACGATTCAACTTCTTTGTACTCAACTCAAAACATTTACATAGTACAAAGTTTCTGATCTTTGTTATGTCAAAGTCTTTTTTTATCGTCGATTCATAAAAAAAAAAACAAGTGATTCATGTCAACATCATACCAGATGTTTATTATACGTCATTTTGTAGCATATATATTTACTTAGCACTTGTCATCTCGTGATTGTATGCATATTGATTTTAAATATCCGTAGTCATATAATGATTCACAATTACTATGACAACAAAATTCTATGTTTCATATGTTATATTATGCAATGAGACATTCAAGTTAGGCGACACTTAAATAATGAAATGACTAATATGGTAATTCAATATGATTATTTGTTTTTTTCTCGTCGAAGATCAATTGTGTCTTACTCAATAATGTTACATGACGCATTATACTTTCTACCAGAGTTACAGTTTCGCAATAAATATATTTAGTCATACACATAACGGAAAAAAAACATGCGACAGAAAGAAAAACAAATTTTACTTGCAAAAAAATTCATTCGTAATCATGAACAAGCACAATCAAGTATGCTGTCAAAATCTTAACAACGTCTATCATGTTACTCAATCCTTAAATAAATACTAATAAAATGAATGCATTGGTATACATCACGAGTTTCATATTTATCTTTATCGCATCTATTTTAGTACATGTTTGCATGTTAAATAACAAAATTGACAAAAAATATTCTATGAAATAGATATTTTTTTTTTTTGCTTTTTGTTATTTTATTTGTTCCATAGAGAATGCAGAATACTAATACTGAGCATAACAAACGAACGTGATAGATAGAAGATAAAGAAGAAAAGAAAAAAAAACATCAATAGAACCAATGAAACGAAAAATTCAGTTGAGTTTTCTCTTTTGTCAAATGTGTTTTATAAAGAGAAACACACTTTTTGGTTTGTCTTGTCTTTTTTTTATTGCCTGATATGTGAAGTTCTAAGAAAAAAAAGAAGAAAAAGAAAGAAGAAGCAAACGCACATCATCTTGAATACATGAGTTTGAAATAGAAAGAAAAAAAAAGAAAAACATTGAAGAACAAAGAAAACAAAAATGAACGCCATAAGTTTTTTTTTGTTTTTTTTTTGTTTTTTTGGTGAGGAATGGGGGGAATAAAACAGGACGAATTCGACACTTCGTATTCAATCCAAACAGCCTAGATTAGGGAATATCAAAGAAATGAAATCATCATATTCACTAATCATCCGAATGGACAGAGAGGAAACGAAAAGGACAGCTTTTTTTTTCTATGCATCATTGAATTGTAACAACAGTTGCATCTTCAATGAAATCTTCAGGAATCCATGGTAACATATCATCTTCAACTTCATTTGAGCAATCGCATGAATTATGACGAATAACAGATGTATCGATTTGATATTTTCGTGGAACAGTTTGAAATGCAGCTTTTACTGAATCCCTAAACACACGGACAAAAAAAAAAAATAAATAAATGAAAATTTTTTTTATTAAAAAAAAAAAATTTTTTTTTGTTTATAAGATTGGCTCAGACTTCCAAAGAAGGCATTTTAGGTAAATGACTGGCCTCACATGTGAGAAATTCGAGTGGAAACTGCGTAACAGGAATAAACATCATCACCGCCAATCTTAGTCCGAATCAAGATTCGAACATAGGTTATCCTCATTCATAGGTTATTAACAAATTCAACCATAATGATTACTTACCAAAATTGTTTTGACATAAAATAAAGTGGTTTACCAAATGGAATACCATTAAATTGTACTGCTGCTGATATTGTATATGCACCCATATTTTTCCATAAAATCCAATCACCAATATTTAACTTTGGTATTTGAATTGATTTATTAATACAATCAAGACCATCACATGTTGGTCCCCAGATTGATGATGTATATTTTTCACTAGATTCATTCTATATTAAGACAAAAGGAAATAACAGAATTAAATAAAATAATTATTTACTAGATAATGTTAATTAATACTGACCTTAGCAAGCAAATAAGGTTCAGGTACATAATGATCATAAAGTACACAATTGAATGAACCATAAACACCATCATTGATGTAATACATATATTTCAAATTACCCGTTTCTATTTTATAGAAAAAAAAATTCTATAATATGTTTTATATAATGAATAAACTAACCTGAATCGATCATTTCTCGTGAAGCAATAACATTTGTAGCTAATGCATATGCCGAAGCAACATAATATCGACCTGGCTCAGCTATTATTCGAATATTTCCATCCTCAGGAAAATGTTCATCAAGTGTTTTATTAACAGCTGCAGAAATTTCTGAAAAATAATCTTCAGTTCCGCTATTTCCTGGAAAACCACCACCAATATCAAGAAGATGCATATTAAAACCTAATTTAATTCCATAATTCATAATTATTCGAGCATTTTGTATAGCATCAACAAATGCTTTGCTTGTCATTTGACCACTACCACAATGAAAACTATACAAAAAAATCAAATCAAATATCTGATAATTTATTTAATACTTTTTTCTTTACCTAACACCAATAATTGTCATATCAATTTCCTGAGCTTTGTCAATTAATTTACGTGCTGTATTCATGTCAGCACCAAATTTCATTGAAAAACGACAAACAGCATTAGAATCATCAGTTACAATACGTAAAACAAGTCTAACAAAGACAAAACATTCAATAATTTATTTCAAAATAACAATAACAAAAAAAAACGATTTATTTACTTAGCATTTGGATATATCTGTTTAATTTTCATTAATTCTTGTTCATTATCAAATGTCATTATTTCAACGCCAGATTCTTGTGCATAACGTATATATGATGATTGTTTACATGGATTAGCATAAACGATACGGTCAGCTGAAAACAAGAAAAGTAAAAATAATTTCAAATAAAAACAGAAAAAAAAAATAATCACTAACCTGTTACACCTAAATCCATAACCTTTTTAATTTCTCCCTAAGAAACAAAAATTTAAGTGATTATTTTCAATCAGAGCAAAATAATTTACTTTGCTTGCACAATCAAAACCAGCTCCAAGATAAGCAAGTAGTTTAATAACATTAATATCATCGTTGCATTTAACAGCTATGAAAAAGCCAAAAATTAATTCTTATTTTGTAAAAAATCAACTGACCATAATGTGGTGTTACACGAGGCATTGATGTAAGCCAACGAATATGTTTATTGCATACATCTTCAAGATCAACAGCAAAAAACGGTTCAACTTCATCTTTCTAAATAATTTTACAAATAGAAGTTAATTGTGAACAAATTTTTATATGTTATTTTACAAGTAAATCAATTTTCTTTTGAATAAATTCTTCAGCTGTATATTGAGCTTTGGTAACAACAATTGAATTATCTTTTATCAGATGCATTTTTTTTTGTGCTTAGAAAAAATTAGTTTGAAAAAGGGGATGCTGATTGGATTGAATACGAAGTGTCGAATCACTACAAATATCCAAAGGGCAATTAGATTATTAAAAAAAAAAGAAGCAAAATCATACTTACAAAAACGATAAAGGGGAGTTGTTCAGCGATTAAATTCCGATAGCGGGTGCTAGCGAAGTGGACCCGGCGTCCAAGGAAATTCAGGCAAGACAGATAGCGAACAGCTGTATACCAATAACAACAAATAACTTTTGGCAGTAAGCCCCTATTCGATTTAAATACAGAATAAAACATTGATTTTATTTACTTTAAAAATTATTTAAACATACCTTAATAGAAGAGCCCCACCCTTTGTCTTCGATACAAGTATTGGACAATATTTTCGGTGTCTTCACAAAGACGAGTTAAAATACCTTTCCCACTCGACTACACACGCACAAGTAAACTTGTAACTTTGATGTGTATGTGTGTATGTGTGTTATAGAAACGAACGATGGTTGTTAGCCGAAATGTGCTGCAGACGAAAAGTAAATGTGCAATATATGAAGAAAGAGAATTTAAATCTACAAATAGTAAGACGAAAAAAAATGGAGATGCATAGACAAAAAGAGAAACATCGAAAAGACAGAAACAAAGTATCGAACATAGTAGTGACATTATTGTGTAATAAATGTGAAACTATTTAAAATATTTATTGTGTTATTTTTTTTATATAGATAAATGATAAGATTTTTAGAGATATTATAATAGTCGGGCATTCGCATTCGAGATGAAGGTACCTACAAATAAATAATGACGCATCAGCTATAGTGGTTGTTGGATACAAAAAAGAACCGGATAATGGCGGATGATAGCCAATAGAATTTTTTCTTTCGATTAGAACTAGTTCTAACATTTTTTTTGTTAACCATTTAATATAAAATTAACAAAAGAAAAATCTGATTATTTTTCTTATCAATACATTATTGTATTTTCCGAGTAAGAGATACTTTACCTATCTTGACATCTATATATTAATTATCGGTATGTAACGAGGTCGCCAGAATTTGAGGGGGTGGTAATTGCTTAGATGACTGATTAGAAGATGTTTGTAACAGTTGACCGGAACTTTAAGGGTTAAGCGTTTTTTCCGGAATTATACAGAAAAAAAATCTGTGAAACACTGAAACTTTGTTAGAGAAAAACGGAGATGTTTCGATTTTTCTACACAATATACATACACATACACACACACGTAATCCAATCACACACAAACAGTATGAAGGTGAAGGTGTGCTTCTCGTATAGAAGAATAAATTTTAAAAATTTAAGGGGGGGGAGGGGGCACAATCACTGTCTTGACCGTCTCCCTCCCCACACATCCAAGACATCCCTGATTAACTGGTGTGAATAATACACCTTTCGAATTTGTATGTGACAGTGAATAATATTAAACAAAGAATGAAACAGAAATTCCTACGTCGGTTCTTTTCATGCTATAATTATAAACTAAGTCGTTATTTATTATAACTCTGCTTTAAATAATAACATCTGAATAAGTATCAAAACACTAAATTCTCTATTAGAAATTTTTTCTACCTGTGGGTATTTTTCTTTACAACACCCACACTTAATTAAATAGTTGTTTTGATCGTATATTAATTACTTAGATCTCCATAGGGAAACACAGTGGAATAATGAACATAAATAGAACCCTATGTATTGTAAATATTTATATGTGGAAACAATTGTATTTACAATTACAATTAAGTAAACAGAACGATCTACTTGCTTAGCTCAATATTTTGTCTATTTAATGAACGTGATATACTTTTTGTTTGCTTGTAAATAATATATTAATTTCTGCATTGTCTGAATATTTTCATAATAAATATGAAAATAAATTTTCAAAAAATCGTCAATGGTAAATTATTTGATTGATTCTTCTTATTAATTATATTTGATGATTATTCATTAGAATATGATTATTTTATATTTTGAATATATTTTTAGTACAAATAATCTTATTCTTATGATGTTAGTCGTAAATGTTACAAACCGATTAACATATGAATTTGAAATTCTCTAAAAGATTTCAGATGAATTTATTCATTTTTTTTCTTCAATACTACTAAGACTTTTTACGAGAAAAAAAAATTGTTTTATAACCTTTGACCATAGTTCGTAATTGATTATCATGAATAACATATTAAAGAATACTTTATTAATGTATTGTGTTCTATTGAAGCATAAAAAGAAAATAGGATATTGAGTTCTTTTTAGTTATTACTTCGGAAAAAGGAAGAATACTTAATTTATTTCGAATAATAAATTATAATAAAAAAGAAATTTTTTTTTATTGCTTGAGATTAATGTATGCGAGTGTCTTAATGCCACCAAAATATACTTGAAATCGCGCTTTTCCGGTACTTTTAAATAAGTTTTTCTTTCTAGATTATCTTATATAAAATTCCAATTTTCTAATTTGTAAACGAAATATTAATATTCTATGAATAAGTTTCTTTTTCTAAATATTCAAAATTTAAAAATGCATAAATGATTAAAAAATAGATAAAAATGAACCATGCTTTTCTCAATGTCTTTGTTATGAGGTTCTGGTGATCATTTGTTGATAAATAAATGTGATCATCATAAAAAGTATATATTCATAATAAAAATGATTGTGAGTATCATAGTATATTTCATGTTTTTCTCGTATCATTTCCTAAAATGAATAATCACGAGGAAAAATAATCAAATGATAAATCGTTTTTAAGCTAAGACTATATTCAATTGATAGAGCCTAGTGAGTATGTGAATATCGTTGAATGGTTCGAGCTTTTGAGCGTTTGTTCTTTACATATTGAATTTTTATTAGATTTTTCCTATAGACCCCAATTTTCAAGCAAAATTATACTTTTGGACTTTAACCTGAGACTTTGCTCACATTAAAATCTCGATTAGATCAACTTGTAGAAAAATTTCTGAATTTTTTGACAAAGTCTTTTGGAGACATGAACCTTTCACAATATTCGTCTTTTTTACAATAACCATGACAAAACGCCTATATTTTGAAAACTTCATATCTTTAAGAGATTTTGTCAAATAACTCTGAAATTGTTTCTACTAGCTAGTTTTATCAGAACCATGATGTGGGCAAAGTTTCAAATCAAAATTCAAAAAGATGATTGTCCCTGAAAATTGATGCTCTCAACGAAAAATCCATGAAAAATTCGATATCTCAGCAACAAAGGCCCAACAGCTCGAATCACTTGAGGGTATCTACCTATGAGCTATATTTAGATTTTCGGAAAAAAGAAATTATCAAATTTTTCTGAAGCTCGACAATCACATAACAGGGCAAACCAAAAGTTTTTAGAAATATTTGAAATTACAGTTATTTCGAAATTTCGGTAAGTACAAAATTACGCAAATTTCAGAAATTTCGGAAGTGACATAATTTCGGGAAGTACCGAAGGTATGTTCAGAATATGGAAAAAGGAAATTACCAAAATTTTCTTCAGTTCGATAATCCATAGTAGTGCGAATCAAGAGTTTTTGAAAATATCATAAATCATAGAAATTCTTAAAATTCTTCTTTTTTTTAGAAACCTACACACTGTTCATAATAAATACTTTTTTTTTCAGATGTCTATCGATGACACAGCGTTATTTCTGCTCGATAATCAATTATCAACATCGTTTAATCAAATAGCTGATGTTGAAGTTGAAAATTTCTTTGGTTGTTATTTACTAAATAGTTTGAATCCAAATTGTAAAGGTCGAACATATATTGGTTTTACTGTTGATCCTCATCGACGAATAAAACAACATAATAAAGGTAGAGATTTTGGCGGAGCAAAAAGAACAAGTGGAAAAGGGCCATGGTAAAAACAGAAAATAATTTTATTAGAATTTTTCATTAAAAATATTTATTTTATCTAGGGAAATGGTTTTAATTGTGCATGGTTTTCCAAATGAAATATCAGCATTACGAGTAAATATTAATGATAGAAGAAAAATAAATATTCTTCTCTTTGTTTATTATTTTATTCAGTTTGAATGGGCATGGCAAAATCCTGAACAATCAATACGTCTCAAACATTTAAATTTACCAAAAACAAAAAAATTTAGTTTAAAATTTAAATTGAAAATTCTTGCTGAAATGCTTTCTGTTGGTCCATGGACACGTTTACCACTTACAGTTCGATGGTTAACTGATAAAAAACAAACATTAGAACGGATACCACCATTACATATGCCTATAACAAGTGGGCAAATTAATGTTTCAAAACATACAAATACAATACCATCAAAACGAAAAAAAGTTAATAATCAAATTTTATCGACAAATGATGATGTTACATCTCTTACGTCTTGTTCTTTATGTAACAATATCATAGAAGTACGTGAAATTTTTACCTTGATATATGATCAATCATCATCATCATCATTATAGAATTCATATTAATAAGAAGAACTCTTGAAATAACATATGATACAAAAATAATGGGATAAATGTCAGACCTTATTTTTTCTTCGATAGAAAAGTGCTGAAAGAAAACTTTATTTACTAGAACATAGAGAATCTTTTCTCCTGTTTCGAATTGTATATAACTTATTTTCTATCCTAAATTCATAGATGAAAGTTTGCAAGAGAGAAAAGAAGTATCCTTAAAATGAATCCGCACTTTTCATATAATGTAGAATAATGATGCAAAATATCAAATTCTAACACCAGAGTTGGAACCGGTACGGATCAATTGAAATGGTTAGACGGGTCGGTTTTCGCCGGTTGAAAAATACTTTATAGATATGCTACTTTTTCTGATAAAACTTGCTGAGAGCAAATTTTCATACTCGTATCAAAATAATCAACTTGTTTTATTTCAAAAATTGTATTTTATTTTTATTTTTTTGTTAATCTATTTCATTTCTTTAACCGAAGTGCTGTTCATTTTTTTCAGTACAATTAAAACTGTATAAATTGAGTTACATTCATCTCGTA